CCCTGTGTTTTCTTTTCTGTGGGAAACTGGTCCAAGTGGCTCTTTGAGTGTTTAAGGTTGCCGACCCCTGACCTAGTCTCTCTCTATCTCACTTCCCAATGTCTCTTTCTCTTCTGCTTTTTTTTCCGAGGCAGAGTCAAACATAGGTGAAAAAGAGGACCATGCATCTTCTGGAAAAAAGTTATCAATAAAGTCCTTGAAGAAACTGCTGATCTTCATCTCAAAGAGGTATTACAGCCAGGGCATACTTTGCTTTTTATTATCCTTGCACAAACTTCTGTAAGTATTTTATGAGTGCTTTTCATAGAAAATATTTTGTGCCTGATATTTTTTTTTCTTGGAGTGTCTCAAACTCATTTTTATGTAGGTGCTTGTTGTGGTTTAGCGTGGCTTTGGTCCTTGTTGCGGCTGTAGCTGGTCTGATTCCTTGCTACATGTCACACCTCTGCCTCTAGGGAGCTCTCTACTCCCCATATTTCCTGTCTGTCCTGTCTAAAGAGGGCAAAAATTACCAAAACATGACTGTAAAATATATCTAAGCCCGGGAGTTTTTTCTCACTTTTGAATCAGTCAGCTTGTTGGAGTTTCAATTTCTGTTTCAAAAACTTGTAATTTTGGAATATACCCATTTTATCCACCAGCTTCTTGTGATTCATTTCCATCCTTTTTTTTACATGTCTAAACAGCAAAACTTAGGCTGTCCTTGCCTCAACAATCTGCTGGAGCTGCATAATTTCATCCTTAAAAGCATGGTTGATGATCTGAGAAGCAGTTGAAAAAACTGAGCTGTTGAGGCAGATTTGAAAAAAGCGTCCCACCCACCACACACAAACCCCTCCCCTCTGTGCTCCACAATAACTCCCCCCAGAACCTGTATCGCCCTACCCACGACACCACCCCTCTGGCAGAGCAAGAAGCCGGCCAGCAGAAGGTCCTACAGGAGCTTTAAATAGGATATACCATGTTGGATTGGGGATGTAAATGCCAGCTCTGCTAGTGAGCACCGTCTGCAGCTGCCTGGACAGCTACCGTGTTGACATTTCAGAGACTAATAAGAGTTATTTATTTAACATGTGCCATGATAAAAAGCAAAAATTACCTGTTCAACAAAAACTCTGCTGTCTCGGCATCTGTTCTCAGGCCCAAATCCTGCAGAGCTTTCTCCACAAGTGATGGGAAGAACAGTTCTTTTGACTGTACTGAATGTTTAGAGTCTGTTTATTAAAATGATTTGTTCAAAAGATTCGTTCACTGAATCAGCCAGTGCTTTGGAGAACTGTCCTGCCGGTGCAGTACACAATTGAGTGACACAGCCGCGAGTTCATTCATCAGGCGGAGCAGGAGATTTACCAATAGGATCTGTCCGGGATGGATGGCTCCCATTGGTCAATGTATTTGCAGCCCTGCACCTGCTAGGGTGAAGAGATTTTGTCCATTCTTTTATTCTCTTCACTTTGTGGACATCGCATTTTAGGACCATGATCGCCATATAAACGAAGTGCATAATAATTACCAATCTGTCCAATTGTCAACCATGCCTTTTAAAAGAACTGTAAAAAGGCAGAAAGTGAATGAATCACCAAAACTCAGTTTAGAGTCAAAGGTTTCTGAATGTGTGTTACAAATGTATGCTATTTCATCATGCTTTTTATTTTTGGTTTACATTACTCCACTGAATGTGCTTGCCTGGATTAGTTTGGTAGTAAGGTGAATAAATCACCACACAGAGTTTTAGACCAGCGTACAACTGGTGAGAAAACAGCACCAAACCAGTTTGAGCCACAAAAACCTTTGTCCCCATTAGGCCTGTCGCGATAATCAATAAATCGCCTTATCGCTCGGTAAATAAAAACGAGGTCGGTAATTTTGCCAGCCTCGATAATTGACGTGCGTTTGTTTTCCTCCTCTCTTGCTACCAAACACGCTGGATGAGAGAAGAGGTCTCACTCTGCGCATTTTTCTCGGCACCTGGGGGCGTTAGCTCTATAGCGGAATGAACGGAGTTAGTGAACCCTCCTGTCAGTCATTCAGTGTCTTTGTCACGAGGGGGCTGGCGCGCACAGGCACACAGACACAGACTTTTGGATACAGTGCTGCAAGTGAGCGTCGTGAGTGAAAAGCAAGCAAACAGAATAAACACGACAGCTTTGGTGTTTAAACCGAACGCAACAGCCCAAGTGTGGGAATATTTCGGCTTTAAACCAGTTTTGTTTCCGTCAACCACAAAACTCCAAGTGTGTGCGCGCGCGCGTGTGTGTCTGTGTGTTGGAGGAGCACAACAGGCTGATGAGAGCTGTCAGAGCGGACTGAAGCTGCTCCTATATGTTTAGCGTTTAACTGACTGAGTTTTGCAACTCTGTTCGTCATTTTCGTCTCGTCCCATCAGCGTAAACGCACTTTCGTCTCGTCACATTTTAGTCATCTCCGACTTATGTTTAGCTCGTCAACGTTACGTCTTTGTCGTGGGTGAAATTAAAGTTTATCACTTTTGACACGGTGTACTCACATTATTATGCCATTTAATATTATCTATAATTTAAAAAACGGTGTCAATAATATCGTTTATCGGCAATAATTTGTAGCACAATTATCGTCCAGCAAAATTTGTTATCGTGACAGGCCTAGTCCCCATATGTCTCAGAACAACAACTGAAATGCTGTCTGCCATGCTGCCAGTCAAAGAAAAATAACTCTGTGAAACTAAAGGCTTAAAGCCATCATCAATCTCTTGTTTTGGCACTGCTGTCAAAAGTTCATACTGGCCTGCAGCTGAGTGACTCTGAACTAATCCCACAGCCAAAGGGCTTTTACCCTTTAGCTGATCTTTAGCTTCAACACAGAGCTGCAGTGAGGAGAGCAGGTCTGTGAAAATAAAAGGACTCACATTTGGCATCCAAGCAGGATTGAGGAGAAAGCCGTGGACGACCTGTTTATGACTGGCAAGATTTTAGCTGTGATTTTAGCTGTGAAATGGAAATGGAGGTGAAATTTGCACTGAAGAAACAGTCCACACTAAACTTTGACAAACATGAAGAGGTTGTAATGTGCTTGGTGTGCCAAAATTACGATTCTACAAACTTTGTGAAAAGAGGCACTTGGTGATGTACATTTGAATATTTAATATGAATTTGGGAATGTGTATGTCTTGTCTGTTGTGTGTATGTTGTGATGGATGATGAGGCTAATGAGGAGTGTTGAATATCTGGTTGGACTGGGAGGTTCTGCAGAGGCCTGGCAGGGAGAGACTTAGGATGGGGGTTCCATCTTAGGCATTGTTCTGCCCGAGCTTAGTCCAACCCAGACTGTACCTGAAAATGGATTGAGATCAGAGAGAGGTGGACCAGGAAGGTGGAAGAGGCATTAATGTTGAAGAAGGAGGGAGGGTGGGTCAAAGAATCACAGACAGAGTGTAGTGGGATGGATGTGTATATGTAGGCTAGTCAGGTGATTGGAGGTGTGGTGAAGGCGTGGCCTTGCTCCTGAACCTTAGTTCATACATTAACTTCATAAAAATCAATAAATAAATCGGTAACCCTTTCTTTTACAGTACACTTATTGCCAGGTAATTACCTGGTAACAACATGAAATTATCTGGTACTTACAGATAACTACTAAGTCAATACTGTCTAGCTACCAGGTAGGTACCATGTTAGGGTAAAAGAAATAACCAGGCATTTACTTGGTAATGAAAGATATTTACCTGTAAATACCATCTAATTACCTGGTACATTCAAAGTAACTATCTAGTATTTGTTTATTGTTACCTGCCAATGACTCAGTATATATATTTGAAATTATTAGGTAATTACCATGTTATAAACAGGGAACTGTACTGCCAACGAAAGCGTGTTCTGTTGGCAGGATTTTAGCCTTACCTTATCTGGTAATTGTAGATTTTAATCCTCCACGTAATTACCTGGTATTTACACAATAACTATCTGGTATTTATTTATCGTTACCCAATTCTTACAAAGTAAATATTTTAAAAATGATCAGCTAATTACCCTGTTACTACCAATGAACTGTACTGCCAAGTAAAGCGTGGTCTGTTGGGTAGAAAATACCAGGTACCTATGTAAGGAGTGGGATGTGAAAAATGGTGATTGGTAAATAATTATGGATTAGTTGCAGATTCTGTTAATCGGGTGAGAAGACTGACGGTGACAAGTTTAAAAACAGAGGGCGGAGATGCCAGTGCATTTACAAAGGTTTTATTTTGACAGAGCTTTTTGACAGAACTTATTCTTAAAACGACAGTAAGACCAACTGATAAAAACCTGCTAAAATGGTTTAAATCGGGGCAACAGAGGTTAAAAAGCCAACAGGAATATTGTTTATAAAACGAGAAGTCTCTGTTTTAAAAAGAGGGATTCAGCCAGACCCAAAATGGTGCACAGGGTTGGAGGGGGGACTTGTAGCTAGTGTCTTTTTCCAGTGCCTGTTCCTTCCGACATGGAGGCCACCTGGAACACACAAAATTAATGCCAGTATGTTTGTTCCCACAAAATCGACACTCTCCTAGAGATGCCACACCAGAACGCTACTAATTATCCCGAAGGGTACTTACACACCAGGCAGAGCGTTGAAGCCCTGCCGCTGCGAGTGTGACGTATTGTAGCGTTCTGGGTTTTCTGTCGTCTTCTCCTCCGCTCGAAGTTCCCGGTCTCCTGTGGCGTCTGCTGCCTTCTCCAACCAAGCTCCGTTTCCCCCGTCATGGTGGCTCCACGGTCTTTTGTTCCTTTCCCTTTTCCGGTCGGGAACCTCCTCCTCCGCCGTGATTGGGTCTGTGGGGAGAACGGGAGAACCTCGCAGGTGCAGTGCATTTGCTCAAGTGGTGCGTTCACAGGCAGTGGGAAATTTAAAACACAACTAAAAACACAAGAGAATAAAAACATGCAATGATAAAACTCTAAAATATACACACGGAAACAATCAATATAATCAGTCCCAACTGTCCTGTGACATTTTCCCACACTTTAATGTTGCCAGTCCCTGCAACATCACAAGTCTCCGTATCGCACTGGGGGTTGTCCCAAGTTCTCCCTCGTGGAACGCCGTGGAGGGTTTTCAGGTTCTTCTCTTGCAGGAGGTATTGCTGCAGGCCGCGGAGGAAATCCATAGATCAATGGAAGTTGAATCTCCGGAGTCTCTGCAGCCGCCTCGGCAGCTGGTGGAGCAGTCTCTGCTGGGGGAGCCGTACACACCTTGAGTGCATTTCGATGAACAGTCTGTACACGGCCTCCCCTCTCTGGTTGAACACGGTACACAAGTTCAGTGTCTCCAACCTGTTCAACAACAACATAGGTCTCTGGGTTCCACCAAGTACACAATTTCCCTTGACCTTGTCTGTTCCTGTTCCTCAACCACACTCTCTCCCCAGGTAACAAAGGTAAAGTTCTGGCTTTACTGTCATAGCGCTGCTTATTCTGAGAAGCTGCATTGTCCATCTTTTGTCTAGCAAGACCGTATGCTACAGATAACCTCTGTTGATGATGTCTAACCCACCCATCTAAGTCATGCTTTCTCTGCTGGGGCCCAACTCCCAACCCAATGTCCACTGGGAGGCGCAAGTGTCGTCCAAACATGAGAAAGGAGGGGGCATAACCTGTGGCGCTGTGGGCCGTGTTGTTATAAGCATGTACCAGTTCGGGTAAATACTCAGGCCAATGGTTTTGCTTATCAGTTTCAAGGGAGCGGAGCATGTTAAAAAGAGTATGGTTAAAGCGTTCTGCACTGCCATTACCAGCAGGGTGGTATGGGGTAGTACGACTTTTGGCTATACCATAGGTATCACACAACTGTTTCATTAGCCCAGACTCAAAATTTGGTCCCTGATCTGAATGAAATCGAGCAGGGCAGCCAAAGGGCTGGATTATTTGGGTCCATAAGGCTTTAACTGTGGTCTCAGCTGTTTGGTCTCGTGTAGGGACGGCCCAAGCATAGCGAGTGAATAAATCAGTGGCTACCAGGATGTTTGGGTGAGTGTCTGCGTTGCGGCCTAGTGAGAGGAAATCTAAGCCTACAACTTCAAGGGGGTATGATACCTCAATTAGTTTTAATGGGGCACGAGGCTCAACTCTCTCCCTTCGCAGGCTGCAGGCGACACATCCCTGTTGGAGTTGACGTACCTCCCCTTCCATGTTTGGCCAGTAGAAGCGCTGTCGAATGCGTGAAAGAGTCCTCTCCACCCCAGCATGGGCGGTGGCTTCATGTACACTCCCCCACACCTCTTTGCTCCTGGCACTCGGACACACAATCTGGTGCCTCACTTCATGAGTCTGTGAATCAAACACTTTTCGACACAGAATGTTGTTTTGGACATGAAGCCTCTTCCACTGCTGCAACAGTCTCTGGCTCCTAAGAGGCAGGGCCTGACGTTCGGGCTTCTCAGGTAACGCACGTGTTTCTACGTACCGTTTAACAATTTGTATGTCTGGGTCACTGGACTGTGCCACTTCCCACTCACTGCCAGCCCACTCCTCACTGTCTCCTTCAGGGGTGAGTTCGATGGCTGCCATCACTGGAGTGGTGTCTGGTCCGGCTGTTGTGTTGGCTACACCTGTGGGTAGAGGGTTAACCGGATATCTGGACAGTACATCAGCATTCACATTGCTCTTACCAGAGCGATATTTGATGTCAAAGTCAAAGGAAGAAAGTTGTGCAACCCAGCGTTGCTCCACTGCACCTAGACGAGCTGTCTGTAGGTGGGCAAGAGGGTTGTTGTCGGTGTACACAGTAAATTTTGTCCCAGTCAGGTAATCTTTAAACTTTTCAGCCACAGCCCACTTGAGGGCCAAAAGTTCCAGTTTAAATGAGCTGTAATTGGCATCATTCTGTTCGGTTGGGTGTAGGCTACGACTGGCATAGGCCATTACACGTTCTCGTCCCTCTTGGACTTGGGCCAAAACTGCTCCCAGTCCTTGGTTGCTCGCATCTGTGTAAACAACGAATGGAAGAGTGTAATCAGCATATGCCAAGACAGGTGCTTGTGTTAGGGCTGTTTTGAGTTTAACAAAAGATGTCTGACAATCTGGGGACCAATTTACCTTCTGGGCTTCAGACTTTTTGTTAGCTGGGATTCCAGTCAGTAGCTGGTTCAGTAGGCGTGCAACCTTAGCAAAACCTGACACAAATCGTCTATAATATCCAGCTAATCCAAGGAAGGCTCGTACCTGTTTTATGCTGTTGGGGACAGGCCAGTCACGAACAGCAGAGATTTTGTCTGGGTCAGGTTTTACACCTGATGAGTCTACAACATGGCCCAAAAACTTCACTTCATGCTGTAGCAATTTGCATTTGTCCAGCCGCAGCTTCAGACCGTGCTGTCCCAGCCTCTCCAACACCTTGTCCAAGTGTTGCAGGTGGGACGTGAAGTCAGGAGAGTACAGGATAATGTCATCTAAATACACAAGCACATAGTCAGACAACTGGCCACTTAAGCACCGCTGCATCAGCCGTTGGAACGTAGCCGGCGCATTGCAAAGGCCAAACGGCATTCGTTCAAACTCGAACAGGCCCAGTGGGGTGGTGAAGGCTGTCTTCTCTCGGTCCAAGGCGTCCATCTCAACCTGCCAGTAGCCGCTGGCCAGGTCAAGAGTGGAAAACCACTCTGCTTGGGTCAGGCTGGTGAGAGTCTCTTCAATCCTGGGTAAGGGAAAGGCATCCTTATGAGTCACAGCATTCAATTTTCTATAATCCACACAAAATCTCCAGCTGCCATTTTTCTTTCTCACCAGTACTATGGGCGCCGCCCATGGGCTGCAGCTCTCCCTGATGACTCCTGATTCAAGCATACCTGATAGTAGTGTCTTCATCTCCTTGTACATGGCTGGGGGTAGGGGGCAATACCGCTCTCGGACAGGTGGTGCATCACCGGTGTGTATTTGGTGCTGTACTAGGTTTGTACACCCAAAGTCTTCATCATGTTGCAAAAACATGCTTCCACTTGAGTAGAAGAGCATGTAGCTCTTCTTGTTGTTGTTTGGATAAATCTGGTCGGTCCGCCAGACTGCTCACCTCTCTTGGCAGTTCCTGCTCGGGTTCATCCGGTGTTGTGCTCATCAATGCCACTTCAACGACACCATCATCTCCCAAGGACAGGTTTAAGTTCTGCGGCCCATGCACGTCAGCCTCGTCCACAGAATGCAGTTTGCCAAGCTTCTGATATCGGCCTATGGTCAGACAATAAGAGTGGGGGTTACAAATCCTCACAGGGACTCTGCCATCTCTTACCGTTGTTAAAGTCCGAGCCACTCCCATGCTGCTGTCTCCAGGCAGTGCTTCCATCATTGCACAGTAGTCTTTTCCCCCGGGGCCCTTCCGGGTCCGGCCCCACACTAGCAGCTCACTCTTTGAAGGTACTTTAATTATGCGTCGACTAGTTGGTCGCACATAACCCAGCAGTCCGTCCTCCTTCATGGTGGCCTCAATGCGGTTGCAGATGGCAAATGCATCTCTCCAAGCTTGGTAGTTCTGCAACTTCTGTGGGGAGAAACCAGACTTCTCGGCCCGTTTAAAGAGGATATCCCAACATGATGTCACAACGTTCATCCCAATGACAAGTGGGTGTGTGCAATGTTTGTCTTTAGCAATCACAACTCCCCGTCCAGGTATAGTGATACCCTCTACTTCTATATCTAGCACAGCATAGCTTGTGTAGGGAAGTTCGAGTCCATTGGCTGCACGTAGTTTGAAAAACACGGGGGTTTGACTACCTTTTCTTTGTGAAAAGTGTTGTTTCGAAAAGACTTTGTTGCATCAAGGTGACTTGAGACCCAGTGTCTAATAGTCCAGACAGTTCAACTCCTTCGATTTTGACTGTAATGTTTGGGCAATTTCCAATAAATGCTTCAGTGGTCCTATTCTCCTCTGGCGCACACTCAACCCCTGCCCCTCGGACCTCAGCAGCAGGGATGGCTAGTTTAAAGCTGGCTGAGCAGGTGGGGATTGTCTGCAGAACCTGGCAATATGACCTGCTTGTCTGCACTGACGGCAAATGGGCCTACCTTGTTCATCCCAGTCGTTTGTGTAGACTGATGGCTGCTGTCGCCCCCTCGCCGGTCGTACCGGGGGTTGTGTCACCCTGCTGGTTGGTTGGAGAAGTGGTTTTATTTCTCTCAGCAACTCCTGAGTGAGCCCAGACACCTGTAGTCTTACATCTTCCATGATCTCTCTTTTCAAAGTCTCTTTCCAGCTGGTATCCTGAGTTGAAGCAGACACAGAAGGGTTACTCACAGATGCACATGTTACCTCTGGCTTGGGATTCCCACACTCTGAAGCTAGAAGCAGTGCCGCCTGTCGAATGGCAGCAAAGGTTTCATCCGGGTTACGACGAGCATACACTTTCAGAGCTTGGGCCACAGAGCCCTCCTGAAGTCCCATTAGCAACTGGTCTCTCAGGGCAGCATCGGAGGGCGCATGGTCTGGATCGTGTCACTGCAGCCTGCAATATAGCTCTCGTAGTTTAAGTATGTATGAGGGTACTGTTTCATCAAGTCTTTGTACACAACTAAAGAACTGAGACCTCAGCAAAGGTGTAGGAGTTCTATCACCATATAGTGAATCCAAATACAAAAAGACTTTACGGGTATTGTCCCTTTCATCTTCCTCTAAAACACTCAGCTGGCGTTTAGCTTCCCCAGCTAACGCACCCAAGACAATGTCAACTTTTCTGGCTTCATTTAACTCTTGTGTACTCAACAAACCTTGTATTTGCTCTTTCCAGTCACTGTATTTTACATCATCACATGGTCCCTTGAACTTTGGCAACCAAGGGGCACCAGGATACACTGGCATCATCATGGTAGCCTCTCTGTTCAGTCACCGCAGGTGTTCTAAAACCCGATCCTGCCAACAACGCCAAAAACTGATGTAAGGAGTGGGATGTGAAAAATGGTGATTGGTAAATAATTATGGATTAGTTGCAGATTCTGTTAATCGGGTGAGAAGACTGACGGTGACAAGTTTAAAAACAGAGGGCGGAGATGCCAGTGCATTTACAAAGGTTTTATTTTGACAGAGCTTTTTGACAGAACTTATTCTTAAAACGACAGTAAGACCAACTGATAAAAACCTGCTAAAATGGTTTAAATCGGGGCAACAGAGGTTAAAAAGCCAACAGGAATATTGTTTATAAAACGAGAAGTCTCTGTTTTAAAAAGAGGGATTCAGCCAGACCCAAAATGGTGCACAGGGTTGGAGGGGGGACTTGTAGCTAGTGTCTTTTTCCAGTGCCTGTTCCTTCCGACATGGAGGCCACCTGGAACACACAAAATTAATGCCAGTATGTTTGTTCCCACAAAATCGACACTCTCCTAGAGATGCCACACCAGAACGCTACTAATTATCCCGAAGGGTACTTACACACCAGGCAGAGCGTTGAAGCCCTGCCGCTGCGAGTGTGACGTGTTGTAGCGTTCTGGGTTTTCTGTCGTCTTCTCCTCCGCTCGAAGTTCCCGGTCTCCTGTGGCGTCTGCTGCCTTCTCCAACCAAGCTCCGTTTCCCCCGTCATGGTGGCTCCACGGTCTTTTGTTCCTTTCCCTTTTCCGGTCGGGAACCTCCTCCTCCGCCGTGATTGGGTCTGTGGGGAGAACGGGAGAACCTCGCAGGTGCAGTGCATTTGCTCAAGTGGTGCGTTCACAGGCAGTGGGAAATTTAAAACACAACTAAAAACACAAGAGAATAAAAACATGCAATGATAAAACTCTAAAATATACACATGAAAACAATCAATAAAATCAGTCCCAACTGTCCTGTGACATTTTCCCACACTTTAATGTTGCCAGTCCCTGCAACATCACAAGTCTCCGTATCGCACTGGGGGTTGTCCCAAGTTCTCCCTCGTGGAACGCCGTGGAGGGTTTTCAGGTTCTTCTCTTGCAGGAGGTATTGCTGCAGGCCGCGGAGGAAATCCATAGATCAATGGAAGTTGAATCTCCGGAGTCTCTGCAGCCGCCTCGGCAGCCGGTGGAGCAGTCTCTGCTGGGGGAGCCGTACACACCTTGAGTGCATTTCGATGAACAGTCTGTACACGGCCTCCCCTCTCTGGTTGAACACGGTACACAAGTTCAGTGTCTCCAACCTGTTCAACAACAACATAGGTCTCTGGGTTCCACCAAGTACACAATTTCCCTTGACCTTGTCTGTTCCTGTTCCTCAACCACACTCTCTCCCCAGGTAACAAAGGTAAAGTTCTGGCTTTACTGTCATAGCGCTGCTTATTCTGAGAAGCTGCATTGTCCATCTTTTGTCTAGCAAGACCGTATGCTACAGATAACCTCTGTTGATGATGTCTAACCCACCCATCTAAGTCATGCTTTCTCTGCTGGGGCCCAACTCCCAACCCAATGTCCACTGGGAGGCGCAAGTGTCGTCCAAACATGAGAAAGGAGGGGGCATAACCTGTGGCGCTGTGGGCCGTGTTGTTATAAGCATGTACCAGTTCGGGTAAATACTCAGGCCAATGGTTTTGCTTATCAGTTTCAAGGGAGCGGAGCATGTTAAAAAGAGTATGGTTAAAGCGTTCTGCACTGCCATTACCAGCAGGGTGGTATGGGGTAGTACGACTTTTGGCTATACCATAGGTATCACACAACTGTTTCATTAGCCCAGACTCAAAATTTGGTCCCTGATCTGAATGAAATCGAGCAGGGCAGCCAAAGGGCTGGATTATTTGGGTCCATAAGGCTTTAACTGTGGTCTCAGCTGTTTGGTCTCGTGTAGGGACGGCCCAAGCATAGCGAGTGAATAAATCAGTGGCTACCAGGATGTTTGGGTGAGTGTCTGCGTTGCGGCCTAGTGAGAGGAAATCTAAGCCTACAACTTCAAGGGGGTATGATACCTCAATTAGTTTTAATGGGGCACGAGGCTCAACTCTCTCCCTTCGCAGGCTGCAGGCGACACATCCCTGTTGGAGTTGACGTACCTCCCCTTCCATGTTTGGCCAGTAGAAGCGCTGTCGAATGCGTGAAAGAGTCCTCTCCACCCCAGCATGGGCGGTGGCTTCATGTACACTCCCCCACACCTCTTTGCTCCTGGCACTCGGACACACAATCTGGTGCCTCACTTCATGAGTCTGTGAATCAAACACTTTTCGACACAGAATGTTGTTTTGGACATGAAGCCTCTTCCACTGCTGCAACAGTCTCTGGCTCCTAAGAGGCAGGGCCTGACGTTCGGGCTTCTCAGGTAACGCACGTGTTTCTACGTACCGTTTAACAATTTGTATGTCTGGGTCACTGGACTGTGCCACTTCCCACTCACTGCCAGCCCACTCCTCACTGTCTCCTTCAGGGGTGAGTTCGATGGCTGCCATCACTGGAGTGGTGTCTGGTCCGGCTGTTGTGTTGGCTACACCTGTGGGTAGAGGGTTAACCGGATATCTGGACAGTACATCAGCATTCACATTGCTCTTACCAGAGCGATATTTGATGTCAAAGTCAAAGGAAGAAAGTTGTGCAACCCAGCGTTGCTCCACTGCACCTAGACGAGCTGTCTGTAGGTGGGCAAGAGGGTTGTTGTCGGTGTACACAGTAAATTTTGTCCCAGTCAGGTAATCTTTAAACTTTTCAGCCACAGCCCACTTGAGGGCCAAAAGTTCCAGTTTAAATGAGCTGTAATTGGCATCATTCTGTTCGGTTGGGTGTAGGCTACGACTGGCATAGGCCATTACACGTTCTCGTCCCTCTTGGACTTGGGCCAAAACTGCTCCCAGTCCTTGGTTGCTCGCATCTGTGTAAACAACGAATGGAAGAGTGTAATCAGCATATGCCAAGACAGGTGCTTGTGTTAGGGCTGTTTTGAGTTTAACAAAAGATGTCTGACAATCTGGGGACCAATTTACCTTCTGGGCTTCAGACTTTTTGTTAGCTGGGATTCCAGTCAGTAGCTGGTTCAGTAGGCGTGCAACCTTAGCAAAACCTGACACAAATCGTCTATAATATCCAGCTAATCCAAGGAAGGCTCGTACCTGTTTTATGCTGTTGGGGACAGGCCAGTCACGAACAGCAGAGATTTTGTCTGGGTCAGGTTTTACACCTGATGAGTCTACAACATGGCCCAAAAACTTCACTTCATGCTGTAGCAATTTGCATTTGTCCAGCCGCAGCTTCAGACCGTGCTGTCCCAGCCTCTCCAACACCTTGTCCAAGTGTTGCAGGTGGGACGTGAAGTCAGGAGAGTACAGGATAATGTCATCTAAATACACAAGCACATAGTCAGACAACTGGCCACTTAAGCACCGCTGCATCAGCCGTTGGAACGTAGCCGGCGCATTGCAAAGGCCAAACGGCATTCGTTCAAACTCGAACAGGCCCAGTGGGGTGGTGAAGGCTGTCTTCTCTCGGTCCAAGGCGTCCATCTCAACCTGCCAGTAGCCGCTGGCCAGGTCAAGAGTGGAAAACCACTCTGCTTGGGTCAGGCTGGTGAGAGTCTCTTCAATCCTGGGTAAGGGAAAGGCATCCTTATGAGTCACAGCATTCAATTTTCTATAATCCACACAAAATCTCCAGCTGCCATTTTTCTTTCTCACCAGTACTATGGGCGCCGCCCATGGGCTGCAGCTCTCCCTGATGACTCCTGATTCAAGCATACCTGATAGTAGTGTCTTCATCTCCTTGTACATGGCTGGGGGTAGGGGGCAATACCGCTCTCGGACAGGTGGTGCATCACCGGTGTGTATTTGGTGCTGTACTAGGTTTGTACACCCAAAGTCTTCATCATGTTGTGCAAAAACATGCTTCCACTTGAGTAGAAGAGCATGTAGCTCTTCTTGTTGTTGTTTGGATAAATCTGGTCGGTCCGCCAGACTGCTCACCTCTCTTGGCAGTTCCTGCTCGGGTTCATCCGGTGTTGTGCTCATCAATGCCACTTCAACGACACCATCATCTCCCAAGGACAGGTTTAAGTTCTGCGGCCCATGCACGTCAGCCTCGTCCACAGAATGCAGTTTGCCAAGCTTCTGATATCGGCCTATGGTCAGACAATAAGAGTGGGGGTTACAAATCCTCACAGGGACTCTGCCATCTCTTACCGTTGTTAAAGTCCGAGCCACTCCCATGCTGCTGTCTCCAGGCAGTGCTTCCATCATTGCACAGTAGTCTTTTCCCCCGGGGCCCTTCCGGGTCCGGCCCCACACTAGCAGCTCACTCTTTGAAGGTACTTTAATTATGCGTCGACTAGTTGGTCGCACATAACCCAGCAGTCCGTCCTCCTTCATGGTGGCCTCAATGCGGTTGCAGATGGCAAATGCATCTCTCCAAGCTTGGTAGTTCTGCAACTTCTGTGGGGAGAAACCAGACTTCTCGGCCCGTTTAAAGAGGATATCCCAACATGATGTCACAACGTTCATCCCAATGACAAGTGGGTGTGTGCAATGTTCGTCTTTAGCAATCACAACTCCCCGTCCAGGTATAGTGATACCCTCTACTTCTATATCTAGCACAGCATAGCTTGTGTAGGGAAGTTCGAGTCCATTGGCTGCACGTAGTTTGAAAAACACGGGGGTTTGACTACCTTTTCTTTGTGAAAAGTGTTGTTTCGAAAAGACTTTGTTGCATCAAGGTGACTTGAGACCCAGTGTCTAATAGTCCAGACAGTTCAACTCCTTCGATTTTGACTGTAATGTTTGGGCAATTTCCAATAAATGCTTCAGTGGTCCTATTCTCCTCTGGCGCACACTCAACCCCTGCCCCTCGGACCTCAGCAGCAGGGATGGCTAGTTTAAAGCTGGCTGAGCAGGTGGGGATTGTCTGCAGAACCTGACAATATGACCTGCTTGTCTGCACTGACGGCAAATGGGCCTACCTTGTTCATCCCAGTCGTTTGTGTAGACTGATGGCTGCTGTCGCCCCCTCGCCGGTCGTACCGGGGGTTGTGTCACCCTGCTGGTTGGTTGGAGAAGTGGTTTTATTTCTCTCAGCAACTCCTGAGTGAGCCCAGACACCTGTAGTCTTACATCTTCCATGATCTCTCTTTTCAAAGTCTCTTTCCAGCTGGTATCCTGAGTTGAAGCAGACACAGAAGGGTTACTCACAGATGCACATGTTACCTCTGGCTTGGGATTCCCACACTCTGAAGCTAGAAGCAGTGCCGCCTGTCAAATGGCAGCAAAGGTTTCATCCGGGTTACGACGAGCATACACTTTCAGAGCTTGGGCCACAGAGCCCTCCTGAAGTCCCATTAGCAACTGGTCTCTCAGGGCAGCATCGGAGGGCGCATGGTCTGGATCGTGTCACTGCAGCCTGCAATATAGCTCTCGTAGTTTAAGTATGTATGAGGGTACTGTTTCATCAAGTCTTTGTACACAACTAAAGAACTGAGACCTCAGCAAAGGTGTAGGAGTTCTATCACCATATAGTGAATCCAAATACAAAAAGACTTTACGGGTATTGTCCCTTTCATCTTCCTCTAAAACACTCAGCTGGCGTTTAGCTTCCCCAGCTAACGCACCCAAGACAATGTCAACTTTTCTGGCTTCATTTAACTCTTGTGTACTCAACAAACCTTGTATTTGCTCTTTCCAGTCACTGTATTTTACATCATCACATGGTCCCTTGAACTTTGGCAACCAAGGGGCACCAGGATACACTGGCATCATCATGGTAGCCTCTCTGTTCAGTCACCGCAGGTGTTCTAAAACCCGATCCTGCCAACAACGCCAAAAACTGATGTAAGGAGTGGGATGTGAAAAATGGTGATTGGTAAATAATTATGGATTAGTTGCAGATTCTGTTAATCGGGTGAGAAGACTGACGGTGACAAGTTTAAAAACAGAGGGCGGAGATGCCAGTGCATTTACAAAGGTTTTATTTTGACAGAGCTTTTTGACAGAACTTATTCTTAAAACGACAGTAAGACCAACTGATAAAAACCTGCTAAAATGGTTTAAATCGGGGCAACAGAGGTTAAAAAGCCAACAGGAATATTGTTTATAAAACGAGAAGTCTCTGTTTTAAAAAGAGGGATTCAGCCAGACCCAAAATGGTGCACAGGGTTGGAGGGGGGACTTGTAGCTAGTGTCTTTTTCCAGTGCCTGTTCCTTCCGACATGGAGGCCACCTGGAACACACAAAATTAATGCCAGTATGTTTGTTCCCACAAAATCGACACTCTCCTAGAGATGCCACACCAGAACGCTACTAATTATCCCGAAGGGTACTTACACACCAGGCAGAGCGTTGAAGCCCTGCCGCTGCGAGTGTGACGTGTTGTAGCGTTCTGGGTTTTCTGTCGTCTTCTCCTCCGCTCGAAGTTCCCGGTCTCCTGTGGCGTCTGCTGCCTTCTCCAACCAAGCTCCGTTTCCCCCGTCATGGTGGCTCCACGGTCTTTTGTTCCTTTCCCTTTTCCGGTCGGGAACCTCCTCCTCCGCCGTGATTGGGTCTGTGGGGAGAACGGGAGAACCTCGCAGGTGCAGTGCATTTGCTCAAGTGGTGCGTTCACAGGCAGTGGGAAATTTAAAACACAACTAAAAACACAAGAGAATAAAAACATGCAATGATAAAACTCTAAAATATACACATGAAAACAATCAATAAAATCAGTCCCAACTGTCCTGTGACACCTACCTTGTAATTATTCCTCCACCAGCTTCCTTCAGGTGTGTAGTTGTGAACAAGTACCCCCCCCCCCCCAGTCCTCACGTGTTACCATGTTAGAATTGTGATAACTCCATGCTATTTACTACGGTGGCCTGGAAGTGCAAAACACAACCGCAAAAGAGAAAACACGACAGCAAATCAAAACGCAAACGCAAAAGAGAAAACGCAAACACAAAAAAGAAAACACGACAGCAAATCACATATGCAAACACAAAAAAGAAAACACGATAGCATCGTCTGTCTTCTTCTTCTTAGTTAGTAGTTTAATGGCAGTTTACTCCGCTGGGGGTGGAGTACTACCTCCACCTGCTGGATCGATGTCGGAATGGGAAAGTAAGCACTCGAATCGACTCGTCTGTCCTTTGACCTGGAAAGACACGAACCGCTGCGCGACAGTCAGTGATGATGTATTGCCAATACTGTGGCAAAGAGCTCCCCAGACAACCCAACTTTTGCAGCAGTTGTGGGAAAAGGCTGCAAGAAGCAGACGGTGACAGTCCATCAAGGAAGTTAAGGGATGTTCAATTAATGTGTTCTGCTACACAACATGTCAACTATTACGTCATATTTGTGTCCTGCATCAAAATATTGCTGGATTATTTCGAGTACACTTTCGTTTTCGGCGTCCATGTTCATGTTTACTTTCCCGTTCCGAACTCCAGCAGGTGGCAGTAGTACTCCACCCCCAGCGGAGAAAACTGCCATTAAACTACAACGAAGAAGAAGAAGAAGACAGACGATGCTGTCGCGTTTTGGGATTTTGCTGTCATGTTTTCTCTTTTTTGTGTTTGCTTTTGTGATTTGCTGTCATGTTTTCTCTTTTTTGTGTTTGCATATGTGATTTGCTGTCATGTTTTCTCTTTTTTGTGTTTGCATATGTGATTTGCTGTCGTGTTTTCTTTTTTGTGTTTGCATTTTCTCTTTTGCGTTTGTGTTTTGATTTGCTGTCGTGTTTTCTCGTTTGCGGTTGTGTTTTGCACTTCCAGGCCACCGTAATTTACCCAGCAAAGCCCTGCTATTCACCAGCTCATTAGGAAGCATGCGCATACCAAACCACTATCAAGTCATATACCCTGTAATACAGTAGAATTGTCACACGCTAACCTGTTTTGGGCCCAGAAATTAAATATATGCAACACAACCTTCTTCTCACGAAGAAAATAGAAAACTTGCTCAAAATTTTTAATACTAGAACCTAATGGCATCAGTGTGTGGATGTGGAAAAATAAACCAGAGTCGTCATAACCCAAACACGTGGATGTAAAATGTCCAAAATATTGGTCAATATTTTACATCCAGCTCACATTTTGACTCTCCACTACGACACGGTGTCCGTTGGTCTGCTCCTCCTCCTGGACAACAAACACACTGCATTTGTAATTAGCTGTCATTATTCCCCAGGATCCACCCAAAACACCAGCATTACCACCATTACCAGCCATCATATAAAATACAACCCCGGGATGAATACGCACAATCAGGTTATAGAACTATGAATTTTAATCTTAGTGGATTAAGTATGTGCAAACAGTTGAAGCAAAACATTGAACTCACATACAAAAAACAAAAACAAGAAAAGGGGTAAACTGTACAAATAAAAAAAAGTGCAGTAATTACAATAAAAAACCACTGCTAACCCTGTAAGACATAAAGTTCTTACATACAAAAAATCTGAATAAATATAAACCGTATAAAAAATCATAACACAATATTCTGACAATCTGTCATCTATCATCATATATACAATTTGAAGATGTCGGCGGATGTCCGGGGATGGACTGACCATAACCATATACAGAGTTCTCACTGACCATAATATGCTGATGTCATCATGACTCAGCCATAACCATATAAGGAGTTCCCATATGCATTCTGTGTACATTGTCTCCTTCTCAATAGCTCCATATATGGGCATTTAACCAATATGTGCATATATAGTATAGAACTCCAGGTGAGGAGCAGGGCAGGAGCGCTTCAGAAATCAAGGACATCAGAGCATGTTACATATTGTAACATGCTCTGATGTCCTTGAATAAGCGTCCAATCATGCCCTCCCTATGCTCCTTCCCACGCCAGTGGTTCCACTCAATGAACCATAGGTTTATTTTCAAGGCCTTCTCTGTCAGGTTTCCCCTAAACCTGTAGATGTAAGTTAGTAACCTTTATTTAACCAGGAAATAAACCCATTGAGATTCAGAATCTCTTTTACAAGGGAGTCCTGGCCAGGATAGCAGCACAAGAAGTTCCACATAAAGAAAAAAAAACACGCAGAAACACAAAACAGTTACAGTATGCAAAACACAACAATAAATCAGCGTTCAGTAAGAAGACGTGCATTCAGTACTCAAAAACTCCTTAATTCTAGTTTTAAAATGTGCCATACTTGGCAGATAATCAAATTTAAAATAACCCTGTAATTTACACCAGGAGGAGGGTGCAAAAGCCTTGAAAGCACTTTCGCCAAAAACCGTCCTTGTCAGAGGAATAGCGTACATGATCTGTCCATCAGACCGGAGATTACTCCTGTTGGTGATTTTGGGAGTTAAGAGGGAACATAGGTAAGAGGGCAAGTCACCTAGAATGGCCTTGTAAAGAAAGATATACCAATGTTCCAATCTATGATTTTGCAGAGCGGACCAACCAACACTCTCATATAAGCTGCAGTGTTGAGTACGAAAATCTAAGCCAGTTACAAATCTTAATGCCGCATGATACACTGAATCCAGCTGAATCCAAGAGAGATTTGCATGCATATATAAGAAGTCACCATAATCAAGTATGGATAAAAACGTTGCCTGTATAAGCCTTTTTCTTGCACCAAAGGAGAAACAACCCTTGTTTCTATAGAAGAAACCCAGTTTCACCCAGTTTCTTTGTAAGACATTCAATATGGTGCCTAAAGGACAAATTTTCTTCCAAGTGAAATCCCAAGTATTTGTAGACAGAAACTCGTTAAACTAATTTCTCATTTTGAGTAACAATCTGACAGACATCATGTGATCTCAATGATTTTGAAAAGCACATCATTTTAGTCTTGTCAGTATTTAGTACAAGTCTTAATTGATAGAGATTTTTCTGAATAACATTAAAAGCAGACTGCAGATATTCTGTTGCACTAGCTAATGATGGAGCTGAGCAATACAAAACGGTGTCATCTGCATAAAAATTGAAATTGGCATCAGTTACATTTTGACATAATACATTAATATAAATAGTAAAAAAAAAATAGGACCCAGTATGGACCCCTGAGGGACACCGTTTCGAATAGACAAGGAGTTGGAACACAAACCATCAACCTGAACCCTTTGTGTTCTGCCACTCAAGTAGTTACCAAACCATTTCACCGCATTAGAAGACATTCCAATATCCTCCAATCTCTGGGACAAGACAGAGTGGTTGACCGTGTGAAAAGCCTTTGACAGATCTAGGAACACAGCAACACAATATTCTTTAGAGTCAATAGAACAAATGAAATCATTTAACACTTTCATCGTGGCAGTGACTGTGCTGTGTTTTTTACGGAAACCAGACTGTAATTCATTTAAAATGCTATTTGATGTCAAGACATTTTTCAGCTGATCACTTATAAGTCCTTCCAAGACCTTGGCCAAAACAGGTAATTTGGATATCGGCCTATAATTATTGGGGGGGACTGGGGGATTTCTTGGCATTTAACCTTAAGAGAGCATCATATACCTCATCTCTAGACAAAGGTGCAAGATCAAAATCAAAAGGTAGATTTTCCCTGGACAATGATTGATCCTGTTGACTCACCACTTGTCGTATGTCCTGCTCAAACAACAACCCAGAAGATATAAAGTGCTGGTTCAAAGAATCTAGCATACTTTTCTTGTCTGTAATGGTCACATCATTCAACTTTAATGTATTTGGCAGCACAGTATCCTTTGACCCTGAAGACAGTGATTTAATCATTTTCCAGAATTTAGAAGGGTTGTTTGCACTGTCACAAATTTCATTAAGATAAAAATCGGCTTTGGCTTTACGTATCTGAGAGACACACTTGTTCCTCGGGTGCCTAAAAAGTTGCCAGTCTGAGCTATTTTTGGATTTTCTTGCAGTTGCCCAGGCAAGATCTCGTTTATGAATTAAATCAGACAGCTGCTCTGAAAACCATGGATTATCACGACCTTTAACCTTGTATTTTCTGAGAGGAGCATGTTTGTCTATAATGGCCAAAAGTAAGGAATTAAAATACTGTAAAGCTGTCTCAGCATCTGGAATCAAATTTACCCTGGTCCAATCACATAGATATGTTATTTAAAAAGGCTTGTTCAGAAAATGACTTAAAATTACGCCTAAGTGTGATACGGGGTTTACATTTTGATAACTTTGTGTCTCTCACACAAGCAATAACGCAGTGATCACTAACATCATTTGCAAACACAGCGGTAGCCTGGTATTTCTGGGGAAAATTGGTTAAAATCAAGTCAAGGTGTGTCGACTTCTCAGGGTGTTTAGGGTTTAGCCTAGTTGGTGAGTCAATAATTTGAGCCAAAAGGGCTGAGTCACAGAAACATTTAAAAGAATCAGAAGCAGGGGTTAACCAATCCCAATTTAAATCCCCCATTAAAAGCAGATCATTGTAGTTAATGGTTGATAAGCAGTCAGACAATGAGAGTAGTGTATCCTTTAAGGCAGAAGGAGGTCTATAACATCCCCCTACTGTCATAACACAGCTCTTCGTAAATTCAACTTTCAAGACAAACAATTCAAATTGTTTAGGCACAGACTTGGATAATTGTACTGTTGCCTGAAATGTATTTTTAACATAAATTGCTACGCCTCCACCTTTAGCACGGCGATCAGCACGGAAGATATTATACCCATCCAAATAAATATGACTATCAGGCATGGATCTACTCAGCCATGTCTCAGATAAAACCATAATGTCAACATTTGTTGTTTTGGCCCAAATTCTAACCATATCAATTTTGGGCAAAAGACTTCTCACCTGAGGCCTACCTCTGGATGGATGAGGTAGGCCTCAGGCTGCAGAACTGGGTGGATGAGGTAGGCCTCAGGCTACATATGCAGGCTGCATATGTAAAAAAACAATACCAGACCTATTCAAAAATTCAGCAGGGGTTTGTAGTGATATCACATCAGACACAGGGCCTGGGTTAGGCTGAACATTCCCTGATATCAACAACATAAGCATAATCATACATTTCAACATGTGTGTTTCATGAAAATGCTTCTTGATTTTCTTAGAGACATCATTCATCGTAATAGGCCAAGAGTCATTTGATGGGATAAAGCAGTCCTTTAGGAGAAGAAGGCTTAAAAGATAATTAAAGTTTACATGCTTTGAGACCTGGCTCATTTCAAGCATCCAGCACCCTTGATTGATATCAAAGTCCTGCGCCCAGCTAGTAACCTTTGACCGTGATGACATACAACGAACATGTAGGGAAACGCTACAGACATTCACTGGGATCTCCTGCTTGGCTTCATACTCTGAAAATAAAGGCAAACAGAGCAAAGCCAGGAGGGCGAGAATTATACTCGCCATGATGGAAGTTGACTCAGCTGCAAGGCAGGATAGGTGAAATAGGCCTCAGCTGCAGAGCTGGGCGGATGAGGTAGGCCTCAGGCTACTGAGCTTTTCTTGTTGTTGGTACTGCTGCAGATCTTGGCTGCAATCTAGCCACACTTCAGCAGCTCCCAGAGTCTTGAGTAGGTTTAAAAGGCTAACTACGCTCAACTTCCCCGAAATCACGGCTTTGGTCAGGTGAAAAAAAAACATAAGAATACGTGCTTGTTTGTTCGTGGAAAAACACTGGGGTCTGCTGTTTATGCAAGCTCTCCACCCATAAAGATCATGAGACGCCTCAAGTGTATAAATGTTAACTACTGAAAAATAGTATTCAGACCTCAACAGAGATACCTTTGGGTTGATGTTGTGCTCTCCAAGATATCTTGTATTGTTTGCTGTGCAGAAATAAAAGGTTGGTTGAAGACACCTTTTTGCCTCATTGAATCCTCTGTTCCAGTCTCCATTAACGGATTTGGGGAAGTTTGGACAACTTCAACAACGTCCATACTGAAAACAAACAGAATGTCAATCTTAAAGGGATATTTCACTTCCGAAAATACTTTTGGTCATTTTATCATCCACTCCTGCTTATGTGAACACCCCAGACAATTCAAAATTATTCGTTTCAGTATTTACATATTCAATATATTCATTTTAGCTGCCCTGCCCCCTGTCCTATACAAACCCATTGTAGCTTCAACCTTTTTTATGGTGACTGCCCTCATAATGAGGGGGCCATGTTTTTTCATTTACTGTTTTCATAGAATTTTAATATATGTTTAGTGTCCTCCGGCCAACTCCTGCTACTTATTCTTTTCCAAAACAATTATTTAAAAAAAATCAAAACATTAAATGAAAAAACAGGGCCCCCTCACGTATTAGGAGGACACTATGAGTCACCAAAAAAAAGGTCTGTCATGGTTAAAATGGATTTTAAAGCTACAATGAGTTTGTATAGGAAAGGGGCAGGGCAGCTCAAATGAAGTAGTGCGACGTAGTGACGTTGCTGCCTGTAAATACATGCCTACAATACAATACATGCCTGCGCATGTATTAACCGAGAGGGCAAAGGAAAGCAGCACAAATACAAGTAAAGCAACACAAATACAAGGAAAACCTGCAAAAATAAAAGGAAAAGACTTTTTTTGTTTAATTTTGTGAACTTGGAGCCTCTGAACATCCATAAACGTCACTAAATTTGTCGCTAGTCACTTTTCTCTAATTTTCTCGCTGGGGAGTGGGGGTTACAGAAAGTAACTAAAAATAGCGACAAAATTGCTAATGGGCAACACTGCCCAGTGGTAAAAATTGCCCTGCATCATACAGTTTGATCATTTTTATCCTTAATCTATTTCTATCTCTAATGCACACTGCAAGTTTTATAAGACTATAATGGAGGACACACTCACACAAGCAACCATTGTTGTTTACACTACGTTTTAGAAACTTTATGCACTGCCTCCTATTTTATTTTACCCAAAATTGTGTTAATGCCCCAAGCTTTTAGATAGTGGGTCCAAAAGTCACTTCCCAGATTTTTCCCCTCTGCACAGGAGAAATGTTAACTGTTTCATTGAAGAGAACTGTTAGTGAAGGTCGACTACTTGGTACCTTGCCTTTTGTAACAGCAAAGCAAGAAAAAATACTGCAGTAATTTATGCCATTGGCTCTCAAAGTGGGGTCCTTGGAGGGGTTCAAGGCAGATGTACAAGCTAAGTGTGCGTCACTTTGTGACATGCTGCGACATACATGGGCAACATGCGGTTCGGGCCACATGCGGCCCCCACCTTCACTTAATGTGGCCCTCAGGCTAATATGGCAATACTGATATATTATTGATTTCAGCTGTTACCAATTCCAAACATGCAAACATGACATGCTTTAATTACTTCAGTCTATATTAGTAGCTTAATGACTAGTATTAAAATGTTATTGTTTCTTTTATGTGCAATGAATGTACTTATATTTAAGGTTATAAACTTAACATTAGGATAACTAAATGCATTTGGAATTTCAAGAATTAAAACATAGCAAAAATAGCCGATCCACAAGCTCAAAACACGTCATAATGCATTTTGAGCTTGTAGATCGGCTATTTTTGCTACATTTGTGTGACATAGAATGTGGCCCTCTGCAGTGAATGTGGCCCATGCCATCATCGAAGTTGCCCACCCCTGTGCTACGAGCTTGTACATCTATTGTGTTGCGAAGGTGTTGTAAGAATTACATTTTACTCTTCTCTTCTGAGGATCACAAAGTATAAAAAAATAATAAAAATCAGATGTGGGTCTGTGGCAACAACAAATTATAACATTACCTTCCTTTTGTGTCTAAACTTGCTCTCGTCTATCACCACAAATGCTCTTATCCCTCCAATCTGCATCCCCCGCCGTCGCTCCAGTCACCTGACTGATTCACAGCAAACTTGACGCAAAAATGTGGTCACCCTGGTCAGTGATCTGCTGCTCCCGCATACTCCATCCTGTATCATATCCACTTGCCTTCTCCTCAAACCCTGTGACAAACTGACACAACAAATGTCAACATATTATCAACCGATGGATAGTTTTGAACTCTAGTTAAGGGAAGTGTATTATACAGTACAGTTACGTTGGTGCTTATGATAGCAATTGAGCATGTTGTCAGTGTCAGTGTTGTCAGCAGGCTATGGGGCAGACACACGCTTCATAGACAAGCAATGCTCACAATGCTGTCGTCCCTCCAGGCTATGGGATTGGCACTCGATGTGCTGTGGTGCCATTACAAACCCACTAGTAGCCACGTTACGTTTTCCTATTAAACAACAGTTGTCCATAAAACCTCTACGCAGGTTGGGCATTTTACTGTACCACTAAGTGAAAAAATAAATTGCATAATTTTTCATGAGAGATACAGACGCTAGGGGCCGACTGAACATCGCTAAAATAGCTAGTATATCTTTGGCCATGGCTCTGGGCTTTGGCCAGTAGAGGGAGATGTCACGCTGTGCATTTGACACACAGTGATAAAATGATATGTGAGAATAATTTATTAACCTGCAGCCGAAAGAGCCAAAAAATTGCCATATAAACAGCAAACAGCTCTGAAACTAGAAACCTATGAACCAAGTGTACTTTCTAACTTCCCCCTATCACAAATGACTTAATTATTTTTGTTAAAATCTAAGAAAAGGGGATTTTGGGTTTCATGTCCCTTTAATGAACAGGTGGGTGTGGCCACATAAAAACATCCTTTTAACACTTTCTGTACACTTTTTCCTCCTTATTTAATATTAATAGCTGATTATCATGTTTTGGATGAAAAAAAAACATGGCACTGCCTCTTTGAAATAATTTGCAGAAATACAAGCTTACAATCCGTCACAAATGCTGGTTGATCTGCTTAATGCGGGGTGACAACTCCTATCCGTGACTTTGTGTCCATATCTATGTGACTTCACAGGGTCTAGGCCAGTTTTCAATTAATATGTTATGCTGATGTCAAGTATGAAAATTTTTCAACATGGAACAATTTAGAAGATTGTCTAAAAAAATTGCATTTATCAAAAATGTATCACAATTATTAGGTAATAATTGTGACAGCAGTTACTAGCAGTATATGCATGTACTATCAGGTCAGCCTGATTGGAATAATCTTAAATCTGCTGATGGCTGCTGCAGACCTGCCTGACTCTAGCCGCATCATCTATGATTGTCCGCCTCAGACCCTGAGCTCCTTCTTCTCTTGGATTCCTCTGGACTGTTACTGCAGACATGAACATCAGCCTCACTGACATTACTGACATTAATAACATAAACTAGAGTTGACTATGATTAGGCCTGCTGACTGTAATCACATTCAATTAATTTAACATTGTCCATAATCACTCATATCCTAACCCTGTAAACTGAACTCATTTTGTTTCACCATTACATGAGCTGTTGTTGTTGTTGTTGCTGTTGTTTCTGCTGCCCCCTGTCTCTCTCTCACCCTTGTTCTCTACCCCCCCCCCCATTCTCTCTCGCCTTCCCTTATCTTGTTCTCTCTCTCTCCCTCTCCCCTCTTCTCTCTCTCCTCTCTCTCCCTCCATCTCTCTACATTCCTCCCCAACCCAGCTGCGGCATGGTGGCTGTCTAACATGAGGCTGGTCCTGCCCAAGGTTTCTGCCTGTTAAAAGGAAGTTTTTCCTTGCCACTGCCGCTCATGTTAGTTAAGATGGGACAAAACCCATCTTAGGTTGGTTCTTGATCATCAAACTATGAGCGTGGTCTAGACCTGCTCTTGCTCTTTGAAAAGCGTCTTGAGATGACGACTGTTGTGAGTTGGCGCTATATAAATAAAATTTGATTTGATTAAAGATAAAATGAAAATAAAACAAACAAAAAAAAAGATTATTGCTTAACCAAACATATTTTACACAGCTTGAAAGCATGAAAGATACACGCTTCATTTTTCCAAATAGTGTTACATCATGCCTATAACGCCATTTCAGAGGGGGTGAGAGGGAGAGCAAGAGAGAGCATCAAACCTGTGCATAATGTTCATCCATGATGCAAGAGGAATGTGAGACCTGGAGAATATAGAGCCGTCTCTGATGGATCTTGTGATGGCCCTTCCCCTGTGTATTGACCGTCTGCAGACCCTGTAACAAAACATACCATGACTGTAAACATAGTTTGAAGTAGTATTACATTAGCGTACTGAATAGACACAATGCAATCACTTGCCATTGGCTTCAATATAAAATAAATAAATAAATAGTAAGCAGATGTATAACATGATCTGACTGGGAGTGTGGCTACAGACTGGGTGTAGCTTATGTTTGGCAATAAAGCTAGTATCACTTACCACCGATAGCCATCCTTGGTCATGTTGGTTTTTTTAAATTGCATCCTGCTGTCGCAAACAGGGCATCTTTTTTTCCTTGCCAACAGCCTCTCCACCTGTAGCCATCGTATCAGCCTTTTCCCTCCTCGCGCTGTCTTCTCGAGCAATCTTCTTATCAGAGTCGTATTTTTAACTTTTTGCCTAACGTGCAGTTGTAATAACGTGCGTGGTGCCGGATGTCGAGCCTACTAACGGCTGTATCGAATATATTCGCGAATTGCGTGGGCGATATGAGAGGCCGGATGTTGTACACAGATGTTGCGTTCACAACAACTCTGCGTTAAGAAATACACACATCAGCCACTAGCACATGAGTTGTAAACATGAATTTAATTGTCATAATTTCAGAGCTCAGGTTTGCTGGGGTATCGCGTCAAATCCCACGGGTTGTAAGTTCTAACTAAGCCGCTAAGAATAAGCAAATTGTTATAGCATTTTCAAATGGAACACCGTATTTTCCTCTTGAGCTCTTGAACGTCTCCAGTGCGGAATGACGTATGAAGCAGCACGTTTACGGAGGAAGCACGACTGGGGAAAACTTTCAGAGAGAGAGCGAGGGAAATTCAACCACGGCATGATCTCAACTATTTCGTTCTTCATTCTTGGTAAGTAAGACATGTGAGCCTCAACTGCATGTAAAGTTAGCTGTAGTGATGGTGAGATGAAACCTCTTGAAGCATCTACGCTTTCCATCCAATTACTGGCCTCCTGGGCTGAAGCTTCATGATTGCGCTTCATTTGCTCTATTGCGCCATCAAGTGGACAATAAATGTAAAACAGGCAGAGTGATAAACCAAAGACACCCCGAGACTTTGGTGCACAAAGCTTTGAATTGAATAAATGAATAGATGTGATGCCGTGTGTTTGTGATACAATACAGAAATGATGAAGTTATTAACATGGTGTTTGTCTTTAAGAGGACATAAATAATGGAGAGGGTTGTGGTGTGGATGTGCTTGTGTTACTTAGTTTGTTGTTCGTATATTGTTATGGGGACAACATATAAAACATTTATATTTATTTAAAAAGAACTTTTCAACAAGTCTCGAGTCTATGGATTGTGAGTGGGGGAGGACTCCATTGTGTTTTGCTGCCTGTTAAATCATCCGCCAAATCCGCGAACCGTTACTTGAATCAGTCACGTGGTACAGCCGGGTAGCGAGGCTTCGGACATCATCATTTTTGGCTCCTCCCCTACATGAAGCAAGCCTCGATACGCGCTTCGCGGGCACTGAAGGACACAAAATTAGTTAGCTGACGGTGGTTGGAACTATATGCTTACTCACATGACAAATAGTCGCAAATGCGCCCTAATTTTTCCAATGGTGCGACTTAAAAAAATCTGAGGTTGCACCGGTGCGACCAGCTGCTCAACTCTCAAAGCCCCGCCCACTGTCTCGGAGCAAATCATACTAGCACAGCGTGGATCATCCAGACTTGAAGCCCTCTGCGCACACTGGAGTCACGTAGTTGCTTCGTAGTTCCCACACCATGCGCGGAGTCCCTGCAGGCACGTATGTAAGCACCTCAACGTGACGGAGAAGTATCACACACATCGAAGAGGGCAGTCTCATACATCCGATCACTGAGTGCTCGATCGAATCCATCACAGCGGCTGGTGTGTACAGAACTGTATGGCGAAAATTCGCCAGTGAAACATACGCCTTTTTGCGTTGCATATTTGTGTCATGCAACTAGAGAAAAAAGTTAGTCTAGAGCCCTGAATTTTATTGTAATTTGTAATTTATTATTTTCCCCAATAGAGTCATGGTTTTGAGAGCAAGAAACCAGAGAAAGAAGAAAAACACTGAACCACAGGTGAACTCAGACATCACTTCTGACAATGAAGGAAAGCTTTTTATTCAGTGTCATTTGTTCATACACTGGTCTCGTCTCTCATGGTGCCAGGTTGTCAGGGGCTCTATTCTTAAAGGAGAATTCTGGCCAAAAATGACACTTACTGTGGCGTGAGGGAATGCCACCGATGTACCAAAAAAAGGCCAAGTTAAATCCCAAATGTGCATCCTTCTCGTTCTGCCCATAGAAGTTTCTGTAAGTGAGGAGAGGGTTATCACAAAGCATTGCGCGTCCACAAACTTTATAACTTAAACACTCCGAGAAGCTAATTGTCAACTTTATCTACCTTTTCCGACATGACATTTTTGGATATACTTATATCATTAGCAAGAGCATGAAGCAGTATTAAAGCATTGTTCCTGATACTTTTGGGTGCTTTTTTTTGTTCCTTAGCCTAACCCTTTTTCTTATAGTGACTTCCTCTACACAGTTGCTTTGCAGAGATTAGTTTTGTGATGGAGGAATATAGGCTAGTGAAGATGGTGCTGACTTATTATTTTAGAGCCCCATATGATAGGATGTTTGAGCCAGAACATATAGTCAGGTAACATGCTATTAGGAGCGCATTGCTTTCTGAAAATGTAGATAAAGGTAGAAGTTGACTTCTCAGAATGTTGAAGTTATAAAGTTTGCGGTAATCCTCTCCTCAGAGACGGGCTGTTTTGTTTACTGTTGGAACGGACTGTGATGTGCGTTTCCATCCGGATGAGTAGTTCCATTGCACCGGCAAGGCTGGAAGCCATGGAAACGAGCGTCGACTCGTTTCCATGGCTTCCAGCCTTGCCGGTGCAATGGAACTGGTGGCATCCATCAGCGATGCAAACACAACACATACATTGAGTACTATAATTATTCTTGATTCATGTAAAGAAACACTTTTTTACATCGTGGTAAATACACGCATGGTTGGAATGTCCATCACATTCGTTATGAGGCTGTGGGGACTTACTGAAACATCTATGGACAGAACAAGAAGAATATACATTTGGAATTTAACTTGGCCGTTTTTGGTACGTTAGTGGCATTTCCTCATGCCACGGTAAGTCTCAATTTTCGCCTCCATTCTGGGCCTCCTCTGACTTGTTACCGTTAACCAAGATACAAATTAAGGCTCTTTTCCTTTTTGTGTACAGTCGTTCTCAAACTTTATAATTTTAATTACCTGCATAACACTGAGAGGGTACAATTGGACCCTTATAGGTCCGTTTGCTTCTATTTGTTCACTGTCAACTGTTACACACACATACAGGGCCATTTGGAACTCATTCAAGGACACTTTGGGAACCACTGCTCTACACTAGTGGGTCTCAAACTGTGGTGCGTGCACCCCTTGTGGTGCGCGATAGCCTTCTAGGGGGTGTGCGCAACATGACAAAGCTAATGGTGTTGCTATGGTGTTATTTTAAATACATGAACATATAAGGCCTTGTATGTCAAGTATATGCACAATATAAGCGGCATAATATGCCATATTCAGATATGTGCCATATCCAGTTTCATATATGTGGATATAGGAAACATATGTATCTGTATAAGTATATGTAGGGGAATGTCTTCATACATTTAGGTTAAGAAATGTAGAGTAATTATCTTTTAGTAAGAAGCTACAAATAATCTAGGTTGGCCTGCTCCTGCTGCCCCACGACCATGAGATTGTGAGCAAGGCTGTCTTGCAGGAGCCCAAACTATCTGTCTGTTGGAACATGTAATCTCTGCCAGGGTCAAGACGAACCTAAACAAAGTGTCGTGGGGCAGACATGTCATCATGAGGGGCCTTCTGGAGAACACACACACACACACACACACACACACACACACACACACACACACACACACACACACACACCTAACAGCATAAAAGAGAGTAGAAGTAAAGCTAGGAAGGCTTCCTTCGGTCTTGGTCGAGACTCCAAGACTCCACGCCCCAGGCTGTTCTTCAGATCTCATCATGTCTCCTGTGCATTGTTTATGCTGGACTTTCCACAACATATACATGTATGGATATACATGTACGTGTGAGGGGGTGCGTGAGCTAGGTTGGGAGGTAACAGGGCGTGCACGGACAAAAAAGTTTGGGGACTGCTGGTGTAGAGTGATTCCAGTGAGCTACATGCACAATAGCAGCACCCTTACTCTGTTTGTTCAAAATGGAACAGAGCCTTCATTAGTGTCCTCAGTAATACCTGTGTAGGTAGTCAGACTCAGAAGAGGCCGGGAAGTAGAACAAAATGGCTTTATGTGCATAGAGCCTGTTAGGGAGTACAGTGAAATAATATTTTTGAGAATTAAATGCATCTTTCTGCATCTTCATTACTTGAGGAGATTCAACTACAAGCACCAACCATGCTCAAGGTTGAGCTTGACAAACTGAAAGGGGAGAACAGGCTGCTCAAAGAAGAAATCAGGCTGTTGAAAGCAGAGAACCAACTCCTAAAAGACCAGCGGGACTTTCTCAAGGAGAAGGAGAAGGCTCAGTTGTCAGGGGTCACACTTCCCACACGTTCAAAAGGCAAGGACTCAAAATGCCTAACTAAGTCTCATCTTTTCAATTTAGTCACTAGACAATAAAGTTGGGGGCTGGCTTCATTGGTTTTGCCTGGTTTTGTGTCGCTGCTGCAGTTTTTGTCTCTGAAGAAATGGGCAATAAGACAATAATAGAGAGAAGTGATAGATTTGCCAAGTTTAAGCTTTGCTTATAACCTTTACACTTGCTAATTTTTAAGTTCCCCAGAAAAGGAGGACACGGGAATCCTCAGTCTCCTCTGAGTCGGGTTCAGAGTCAGACGACTGGAGGAACAGCAAGAAGAAAAAGCGTTGTAGACATTCCTCTGATGAGTACTCATCAGAAGAAACCCCCAGGAAGAAGACCAGAAAACATGAGGACAGAAAACTCGAGCCATCATTTGGAGAGCAAGGTGAACCTTTACCTGGAAAAAATAAATCCCTTTCTATTGCTCCTTCCGTTTACGTCACACTATAACACCATTACAGTCAGTCCAGAAAGTATTCAGAACACTTAACTTTTCCCGCATTTTATGTTACAGCCCTAACGACAAAAGGAATAAATTCATTTTTTTCCTCAGAATTTTACACAAAATACACCATAATCACAATATGAAAGAAGTTTTGTTACGATTTTTGTTAATGTATTAAAAATTAAAAAAAAAAAAAATCACATGTGCACAAGTATTCAGAACCTTTGCTTAATAATTTGTAGAAACACATTTGGCAGCAATTACAGCCTCAATTCTTTTTGAATATGTTGCCACAAGTTTGGCACGCCTATTTTTGGGCAGTTTTGCCCATTCCTCTTTGCAGAACCTCTCAAGCTCCATCAGGTTGGATGGGGAGTGTCGGTTCACAGCCATTTTCAGATCTCCAGAGATGTTCACACGGATTCAAGTCTGGACTCTGGCTGGGCTACTCAAAGACATCCACAGAGTTGTTCTGAAGCCATTCTTTGAGATTTTGGCTGTGTGCTTAAGGTTGTTGTCTTGCTGAAAGATGAGGCATCTTCCCAGTCTGAGGTCAACAGCACTCGGAACCACCAGAAATCTCCCTAGAGCTGGCTGCCTATCTATACAGAGCAATTGGGGGAGAAGGAGCTTAGTCAGACAGGTGACCAAGGACCCGATGGTCACTCTGTCAGAGCTCCAGCGTCCCTCTGTGGAGAGAGGAGAAACTTCCAGAGGGACAACCATCTCTGCAGCAATCCACCAAGCCACGCGGAAGCCAGGCGGAAGCCACTTCTTAGTAAAAGGCACACGACAACCTGACTGGATTTTGCCAAAAGGCACCTGAAGGACTCTAAGACCATGAGAAACAAAAGCTCTCTGATCTGATGAGACAAAGATTGAACTATTTGGCATGAATGCCAGGCATTGTGTTTGGAGGAGACCAGGCACCGCTTATCACCTGGAGAACACCATCCCTACAGTGAAGCATGGTTGTGGCAGCATCATGCTGTGGGGTTGTTTTTAAACAGCAGGAACTGACTAGTCAGGATTGAGGGAAAGATGCATGCAGCAATGTACAGAGACATCCTGGATGAAAACCTGTTCCAGAGCTCTGTTGACCAATGATCTACAATCTATTGGTCCTGGGTACCTACCAGGTAATTATCAAGTAAATACCTAGTAGGTGTCAGCGAAATACCCAGTAACGACGGGTACTTTCCTGGTTGTTACCATATAATCACACACTACATATCTGGTAATTACCTTCTATTTTACCTTCTATTCAAATGTGCCTCTACAAAGTATTGAGCAAAGGTTCTGAATACTTATGCACATGTGATGTTTTGTTTTTTTAATTTTTTAATAAAATTACAAAAATCGTAACAAAACTTCTTTCATGTTGTCATTATGGGGTATGAGGCAATAAAATGACCAAAGTCTTTTTGAAAGTGAAATATCCCTTTAAGGCCTGAGATTTATTTAGAGAAACATTTTTCTAGATCACTGCTGCTCACAGTTTTAGGGACTCCCCAGAAGCAAGTGAAATGTTCACTTTAGGAAAAATATATATTGTAGAATATATGAGAATATACTGTATATAGATTTGCACATAGTTTCATGGTGTACATGACAATCAGTACTTAAGGACTGAAATCTCTTATACATGTTTTCGGAATTATGATTTATATTTTCTTTTGATTTTCTTGTCTTGTAGTTATGAGCCCAGAGGACGTCGTGCATAGATATAAAAAGGTCCTCAAGGAATTTAAGCGCACCCGAAGCCTCACCAAAACCTGCCAAGCATTCGGCATCTACAAGAACACCATAGCTTTAACTGCTGTCATCGCCGATGTCATCATCGCTGGAGGAGAGAGCAGGAAATATGGAGAGCTGACCCCTATTGCAAAAAAGCAGACTTTGGCAGACTATGCCAAAGTCTGCAAGGCCTTTTTAGATGACAGCCCTCCCCTGCAGCAGAAAATTGATGAGATGAGGAAGGCCACAGAGCTTCTCACGATCACCTACAAAAGTAACATGTAAGGGATTAAAAACAATCAAATGTTTTCTGCAGTCTAGTCTGACCTCTGTTGTTGATAGTGCTGGGTAGTGTTTTACAGAAAACAAAAAGGGGGAGAACCAATCAGTGTCTGTGCTCAGGGCCTTGTCATTGACTGACTTAGCTCTGCCACTTTTTGATTTCTGCAAAATGCCACCCAGTACTTGGGGCCAGACTGGTCTGCAAAATATAGGGATGCTGCTATCCAGAATTTTCACTTATGATCTGATCCAGCCCATTTTCTTTTCTTTTTCTTTTTTTTTATTGCGGGACACACCCTAGACACCCTCACCCTCTTTAGACTCTCTCTCTAAAAAAAGAAATCATTCATTCATCCATCCATCCACCCATTTATTCATTCCATTTCTTTTTAATGTTTATGTTTTATATTTCTTTTTTTTTTTTTTTTTTTATATATTTATTTTATGTTTTACAGGGTTAGCAGTGTTCTTAGGTGCAATTCTGAGAATTTGTTTTATTTTTTTATTTATTTATTGTAATTACTGCACTTTTTTTATTTGTACAGTTTACCCCTTTTCTTGTTTTTGTTTTTTGTATGTGAGTTCAATGTTTTGCTGCACCTGTTTGTACATACTTAATCCACTGGGATTAAAGTTCATAGTTCAATAACCTAATTGTGTTTATTCATCCCAGGGGTTGTATTTTATATGATGGCTGGTAATGGTGGTAATGCTAGTGTTTTGGGTGGATCCTGGGGAATAATGACAGCTAATTACAAATGCAGTGTGTTTGTTGTCCAGGAGGAGGAGCAGACCCACGGACACTGTGTCGTAGTGTAGAGTCAAAATGTGAGCTGGACGTAAAATATGACCAATATTTTGGACATTTTACGTCCACTTTTTTGGGTTATGACAACTCTGGTATATTTTTCCACACCCACACACTGATGCCATTAGGTTCTAGTATTAAAATTTTGAACAAGTTTTTTATTTTCTCTGTGAGAAGAAGGTTGTGTTGCATATATTTAATTTCTGGGCCCAAAACAGGTTGGTGAGTGACAATTCTACTGTATTACAGGGTATATGACTTGATAGTGGTTTGGTATGCGCGTGCTTCCTAATGAGCTGGTGAATAGCAGGGCTTTGCTGGGTAAATGGCATGGAGTTATCACAATTCTAACATGGGTGTGTGGTAGTGATGTGTCCTTCAGTGCCGAGGCTTCGAAGCGTGTGTCGAGTAATAAAGGGGGCGTTTCCGCGAAGTGCGTATCGAGGCTTGCTTCATGTAGGGGTGGAGCCAAAAATGATGACGTCCGAAGCCTCGCTACCCGGCTGTACCACATGACTGATTCAAGAAACGGTTCACGGGTTTGGCGGATGATTTAACAGACAGCGAAACGCAATGGAGTCCTCCCCCACTCACAATCCATAGACTCGAGACTTGTTGAAAAGTTGTTTTTAAATAAAAATAAATAAATATAAATGACATGTTTATGTTTTATATGTTGTCCCCGTAACAAAAGTGCGAACAACAAACTAAGTAACACAAGCACATCACATCACAACCCTCTCCATAATTTATGTCCTCTTCCCCTTTTTGACACTGCAACTGTGTCTTAAAGACAAACATCATTTTAATAACTTAATCATTTATGTACTGTATCACAAACACACGGCATCACATCCATTCATTCATTAAATTCAAAGCTTCGCGCACCAAAGCCTCGGGGTGTCTTTGGTTTATCACTCTGCCTGTTTTACATTTATTGTCCACTTGTTGGCGCAATAGAGCAAATGAAGCATGAACATGAAGCTTCGGCCCAGTAGGCGAGTAATTGGATGGAAAGCTTCAATGCTTCATGAGGCTTCATCTCGCCATCACTAGTGTATGGTGTGGTGCCGCACGAGGTGGGGCCTGTTACAGCAGCTCCCAAGTGTTTTATACTTTTTGTATCTTTTTCTCTTTCATTTCTGTCCTGACACATGTGTGTCTTCACCAGTTAGTGTCTAACTACTGGATACACCGACTTTTGTCTTTTTGTAACTTTTCTGGCCGTTTTTCTCTACACTTTTTGGCACTTTAGCACTCATGGCAGCGGAGGTTCAAAAAGGCGACGGTGAGCGCTTTGTTTACAAGCGCGATTAGCTGATTGCGCTGAGTAAACCTGTGCTGCTGCCCGGAGCAAGGCCTGACATCCCGGAGGAGCTGCGTAGGAGGTGCCGGGGATGCAGAGCAGGAGCCAAGCTGAGGGTAAAGAAGATTTCGCCCAGCTGTACCAGCGATTATCACGGGGAACGTGAGGACTTTGGGGAATAAGACGGATGAGCTCAGACTCAGAGGGAATACCGTGAGTGTAACGTCTTTTGTTTCACTGAGACATGGCTGCACTTGCATATCCCGGACCACAGCGTGGCGGCACCCGGCTTCAGAGTTGTTCGAGCGGACAGAGATGTTATTTGCAGTGGTAAGAAGAAGGGAGGAGGGATTGCACTGTATGTGAGTGAGAGGTGGTGTAATCCCGGACATGTGCATGTGAAGGAACGTCTCTGTGAACCGGACATTGAACTGTTTGCTGTCGGAATGCATCCGTATTACCTGCCCCGGGAATTCATGTCCACCATTGTGATCCCTGTTTACATCCCTGTAATTGTAATTTTAATGTCTTTGTTAAGAATTGCTTGAAGTGCCCCTCACAACAGACTTTCCAATCAACATATCAGTTAATCAGCATGTCTAGACATCAACAGACAACATCCTGCAGGATGCTTCAGGTGTCACCACCACCCCAGGGGGGTGAAGTAACAGTCCCCACAGACAACAAAAGGTGCCAACACCCAAGCCCCATTCCTTGCCCTCTGGGAGGCGGTCCTAAAAGTATAAATATTCTGTATTCCCTAGATTCGGGGTCCTTTCTGATCTACCCGCTCGGATCCAGATCGACCTTTTCTTTGCAAAGAAAATAAAACCTTGTCGGCCGGCAGAAGTCTCTATTTCATTATTCACCAGCAGCAACGGAAAAGAAAAACTTCCACGACAATTTGGTGTCAGAAGTGGGATCCCTCGAGCAATCGTCTGGGCCGGAGCATGGACAGTGACAGGCCATCCTGGAAAAACAAAAGATTTCCAGCCTCCAAACCTCAAATTCTTTTGTGAGAAGGGAGGACTGACCAAAACCGCCCCAGATCGTTGCCGCTGGGATTCCACGAACAAAATTCAGCAAATTCATCTGGTGAGCACTGAAATATTGACTTTCCTTTTCTTTAAAATTTGGTTTTTAATTGGGCATGACATTTTTTCTTATGATCTCCATAACTTGGCGTGCTTTTATCATCATTTGTAGCTTAACTAAGTGATGTTACTTTTTCTAGGGACGACAAGTAGTAATTTTTTATTGCTCGTGAGTCCTTAGACAAAGTAAAGCTTTTTCTTGCTAGTAGCTTTCCCTGGGGGATAAAACGAAGTAAGGCTTTTCTCATTATTTGAAGCTTAACGAAGTAATGTTGCTCTTTCTGGAGCCGACAAGTAATTGATGTCTGGACCACTGAGTTTGGATTCCCAACAGGGGGATCCCTCAGTTTTAAAAAAAAAAAAAAACAAACATTTTTTGCTTGTAGTCTTTAGACAAAGTAAAGCTTTTTCTTGCTTGTAGCTTTCCCTGGGGGATAAAACGAAGTAAGGCTTTTCTCATTATTTGAAGCTTAACGAAGTAATGTTACTCTTTCTGGAGCCGACAAGTAATTTTGTTGCTTGTGTGGCAAGGGGGTGCTATTTTATTCAAAAATAGAGCATATTGTCTCCAACTAGCAACGCCACCTGGGGACTTGCACCCCAGGAAACTGAACTTTCAAACTAAAACAGGAAGCTAAAATAAGAATAAAGGCAACACAGGTAAGTTCTGAAGAGGCAGAGACAGAGTTCAAAATATTTCAAAATGTTTATTAGATCAAAAAAAATGAAGTTAAACGTAAATATAACTGAGAAATTTAACCTAGGAGGGAAAGAAAGGGATAAAGTTAAAACAACATAACAAAACACAGATAAGGGGGCAAGAAAGTTAATTTTATTTCTATAATAAAATTTAAAACAAGGCCTTCTACAAAAGTTAAAAAGTACAATAACCCCAACTTAAACTAAATCAAAGAAACCCAAACTAAGTTAACTTAAAATAAGCTGAGGCCACCAGAAGGGAGGCAGACTACAGAGGGAAAGTGCAGGGGGGTGCTCCCTTATACTCACCAAGTGAAGCACAGCACACACACTGCAAACCTTCAACAAAAGAAACAAAATCGGTGTAGTCTTGTGACCCGGTGTCAAACTCATGCAAAGGTGGAGGGCCCTCACCCGGGGTGCCTAGCCTCCCAAACTAGTGGGCTCAACCTCTGAAATAAAATAAAAGGATTAACCAAAGAAACAAACAAACAAACCAGCGAACCCAGTTGGTAAAACTAGAGGGAACTAAGGAGAAAAGCAACTAAGGGTAACTAAGAACAGAATGCAAACTAATGGGGGAGTAACTGTGTAAAACAACCAAACTTAGAAGTAGAAACAAACCAAGTAAGGGGGGAAACCAATCAAAAGGGCAGAAACAATCAAAGTAAACAGGCAAAAATAACTACAATTAATGGGGGCAACAAAACAGCAGCAGGTCTACCACCAGCACTCTGAGCAGATCAGAAGGCCGACTGCAGGTGAGCTGCTGCCTTTTGTTCAGCTGACCTGATTAGGGGAAGGGAGGGGTTAGAGGAGGAGGGAGAGCTGCATTCAATAGCAGCAAGGTGCTGCCTGCCACAATCTGCCCCTGGGTTTTGAATCGGCGACCCAACGATTTACTCTTACTGCCATGGCCTAAAGACAAAGGCAGTATGCCCGGGAGTGTGAGAGTTCGTAGCCCCTATTGCCCTACTCTGTGCTGCCTGAGGGAGGTGATGTGGGTTCGGGTGTTGGCCAGCATTTGTGCGAGGGGTCCTGCGCTGGGATGCTCCACTGTGAGCTATAGGGTTTGTCTCGTCCAACTGCTGCTGAGGGTCTTGAGGAGCAGGTGGTGGTACAGCATCTTCTGTGGGAGCTGCTAAGGGGGCCTGAGTCGGTAAAGGTTGATTTGTTGCTGGGGTTACCTCAGGAATCACAACAAACCATTCACCATCTGCTGAAGCTTCATTCTGGGGAGGAGGTTCAGCCACTTGGGGGGGTCTCTGGTGGGTTGCAGTCGGTCACACTATCCACTTTACCTCTCAGCAGGCAGCGGTGGACATGCTTCACCTGGTCGAGGTTGTCAGCAGGAGCGATGGTGTACACTGATCCTCCAGCGGCTGGAGCCTTAAGTACTTTGTAGAGTATTGGGCCCCAGATGTCTTGGATCTTGTGCCGCCCCCTTGCTCCCACATCCTTCAGGAAAACAAGCTTGCCTTCTTGTAGGGGAGCATCCTTCACATGTCGGTCGTAGTTCTGCTTACGCTTTTCAGCTGCTGCCTCCAGATGCTGTCTAGCTGCCTCAAATGCATGTCGGAGTCGGGTTTGATGCTCTGTGATCCAGGCGTGAGTGCTGCCAGCTGTGGGTTCAGGAACTCTGCCCAGAAGGAAATCTACAGGTAAGTGAGGGTCTTGTCCAAACATTAGAAAATATGGGGACTCACCGGTGGATTGATGTGGTGTGGTGTTGTAGGAAAAGGTCACCTGAGGTAGGTAGCTGGCCCAATCCCTTTTCTTGGTTACTGGTAAGGTGCGTAGGAGGTTGTGTAGTGTACGATTGAAACGTTCACATTGTCCATTACCAGCTGGATGATGGGGGTGGTGTGACTCTTCTCTATCCCATACATGCTGCAGAGTTGTTTGATGAGGTGGCTCTGAAAGTTTCTGCCTTGGTCGGAGTGAATACGCCCCGGTACACCAAACCTGCAGAACCAATCATTGATGAGGACCTTAGCCACTGTTGATGCTAGCTGGTCTCGGGTTGGAACCGCCTGGGTGTATTTGGAGAAAACATCTGTCATAACAAGGACATTCTCAAACCCGTTCTTTGATGATTCCAGGATAGTTAAGTCCACGGCGAGGATCTGGTTTGGCCGGGATGCCAGTAAATGTCCCATATATGCACAGGCAGTGGGTTGAGTGTGCTTTGCCACCTGACAGCGTTCACACTTTTGGCACCATTCTTTGATGTCCTGGTGCATTCTAGGCCAATAGCACCGCTGGTGGACCAGATCTGTTGTGCGGTCCACACCTTGATGTCCATGTTCATGATGTAACTGATGCAGGACCTCACTTTTTAGAGACTGTGGTAGCACCAGCTGCAACACCTCCTCTCCCCGGGGATGACAAACTCTGCGATGAAGAATGCCGTTTTTCTCTTCTATACGGCTCCATTGTCTCACCAATGTCAGGACATCCTTTGAGGCTTTCTCTCTTTCTGCTGCATTAGGGCCCCTTCCTCTGCTCCAAAACAGAAGAAAGTCACTGATTGTTGGATCAGCCTCCTGCAATGCACACAAATCATAGTCAGTGAGAGAGGGGAATGCTGAAATGGTGGCCTGAGTGGCTCTTGTTACCTGGCCTGACTCAATAGCCTGCTGCAACTGCTCTGGAACTGGGAGGCCATGAGGTTCACAGTGTGAAGTTCTGCTGACTGGGTGCTGCCTGGAGAGGGAATCTGCATTTTTGTTAATTCGACCAGGCCGATACTTTATGGTGAAGTCAAATGAAGCCAGTTGTGCTGCCCAGCGTTGCTCTGTTGCTCCTAGTTTTGCTGTGGATAGGTGGCTGAGGGGGTTGTTATCCGTGTACACCATACACTTTTGTCCTAACAGATAGTCTCTGAATTTTTCTGTCATGGCCCATTTCAAAGCCAGAAACTCCAATTTCATGGAGCTATAATTGTCCATGTTACGCTCTGTGGGTTTGAGACCTCGGCTGGCATAAGCTACGGGTCGAACTTTCCCATTCTGTTCTTGTGAAAGGACAGCACCCAGCCCGCTATAACTAGCATCAACCTCCAAGATGAAGGGCAAGTTGAAGTCAGCATAGGCTAAAACAGGAGCAGTCACTAACCGAGTTTTGAGTTCCTCAAAGCTCCGCTCACACTCTGTGGTCCATGCAGCACTCAGACTCCTTCCTGTTGGTCTTTTAGATTTTGTTCCTGTCAACTCAGCCACTAGGTGATGCAAGGGGGCAGCCAGCTTAGCAAAACCTTCAATAAAGCGTCGGTAGTAGCTGGCAAATCCCAAGAAAGACCGCAGCTCAGAGACTTGGTCAGGGCGCTGCCACTTTGACACCACTTCTATTTTGTTTGGGTCTGTAGATACGCCATGCCTGGATATTACATGGCCAAGGTAGCTCACCTCTGGTTTGAAGAATGTGCACTTCTCCAGTTTGGCTCTGAGATTCTCCTTTTGTAGGCGACCCAGCACAACATCCAAGCGTTTCACATGCTCCTCTACAGAGGAAGAGAACACAACCACATCATCCAGGTACAGTAACAATGATTGACAATGCTGATCTCCAAAGATTCTCTCCATTAATCTCTGGAAGGTACTTGGTGCATTGCATAACCCAAATGGCATGCGGTTCCACTCAAACAACCCAAATGGGGTGCAAAATGCAGTCTTCATTTTGTCCTTCTCAGTCACTGGTACCTGATTATATCCAGCAGCTAGATCCAAGGTTGAAAACCATTGGGCACCTGAGAGAGTGTCGAGGGATTCCTCTATGCGGGGCAGGGGAAACGCATCCTTTCGGGTCTTGCTGTTGAGGAGCCTGTAGTCCACACACAACCGGAGGCTACCATCCTTCTTTTTCACCAACACAATAGGAGAGGCAAAGGGGCTACTACTTTCTCTAATAACCTGGGCCTCTAAAAGCTGGTGAATGTGAGCCTTTGCTGCCTCATACTCTGAAGGGGGGATGCGTCTGTATCTCTGACGTACTGGGACCTCATCCACTAAAGGTATGTCATGAGAAATGAGGTTTGTGCATCCTATGTCACTTTCATGTGAAGAAAAGACACCACTGTACTTGTGCAACAAGGACCTGACTTCTACTTGTTCCTGTTCTGTAAGGGCCGTTAAATCAAGTGCATCAACCTTATCCTGCACTGAACTGGTCGCTGACTGAGAGGAAACTGTGGCTGCTACTTCCCCCTCTACCAGACCTGTGGGCGAGCTTACAAGGTGAACATTACTCAAGGTGCCAAGAACGGTTCTCGGGTACAGTACAACGTCGTGGATTCCAACATTTACAACAGGGATGTAAGCTGTGCCTCTACTCACCTGAACAAGTGCTGGGGATGCTAGCAGACCTGCAGGCAAACCTGTGCTAAGGGGCTCAAACAAAACTTCCCCAAGGTGATGCTGAGAGCAGGTGGCTGCCACAATTTTTAGAGAACCCCCAGGAACTCTACAAACCCTCCCACCTTTCACCTTGACCCGACTGGAATGACCAGAAGGGGCAGCTGCTTGGGCCTGGTGACACTTTTGAAAGGCCTGCTGAACTTGGATAGGGGCCTGCAACACAGAAGGTAAGTTAAACAGAGCAGGGCCATGAAGTACAAACAACTCCTGGTAACATTCCTTTATGATGTTCATACCAAGGACACCTGGAACTGAATGTTCACTGTGTGGGGGATCCCTGACCACCAAAACACCTCACTTTGCTATGACTCTGCCGCAAAGCTGAACATCTAACTCCAGGTATCCAATGTACGGTATGGCCAAGCCATTAGCTGCACTCAATCTCAACCAATTACAACACTGGAGTTTGTCTGGACCCCATGGTGCAAAATGTTGAGCAAAGAAACTTTCAGTTATAGTTGACACCATTGAACCTGTATCAACCAGGCATGGAACTGAAACTCCCCCCATAAGTACAGCTAAGTTTGGGCAGACTGACACCAAGTTATCGAGATTATTAGCAGCAGAGTCTGAGCCTAAGGGGCCCCCACCTGAACTTTGGCTCAATGGTTCAGGGGGCGAAAGTTTCCCTGGTTCTGAGAGGGCTGTCTACCATTAGAGCGAAACTGTATTGAATGAACAGGAGGCTGTGGGGCTGGGAACTCTTCCTCACACTCCCTAGCAAAGTGGCCAGGCTTATGACACCTCCTACAAATGACATTTTTCCTGCGGCCATTTGGTTGGGTGTTTTGAACATCGTTTAAGGTGGCTAAACTTTGAGTTAGCTTATTCAGTTGCTCTTGCTGGTTTTTAAGGATTTCTTTCAGCTCACCCAACTCAGAATTGAAGGAGCTACCTGCCTGGCTATGATTGGGGTACCCTTGCTGAACAGTTTGTTGAAAACCGAAGACATTAGGCACAGAGTGGCTTCTACCCCTCCCACTGGTGGACAATCCCTCCTGCTCCCACCTAATGGCCTCACTGCGGACATCTATCAGGCTGGCTGTAGGGTGGCTTCTGACATATTGCTTCAGTTCTCTGCGAAGGGAGCAATCGACAACATGTTCAACAAATTGGTCTCTCAGTAACACATCTTTGTTAGGAAGAAAATTTGGTGTCTTTTTATCAACCTTGTCCATTAGACACAATAAAGCATGTGAAAATTCTTGCAATGTTTCCCCATCTTGTTGTTTTCTAGAGGAAAACTCCTCTTGCAAAGACACATAAGACCTTGAACACCCATACAGTTCCTGTAATATAGCCAAAACCTTGTTTGGATCTTCCCGTTCCTGCTGAGGTCTGTACTTAATCTCTTCTCTGGCTTCCCCCTCTAAATGGTCAAAAAGAAAAAGTGCTTGCTCAACTGTGGACATATTTCTAGCACGGGTGCAAGCATGGACTTCTTCCACCCACTCAACAATGCTAATTCCAGTCCTGCCCCTAAACATGGGACATTTTCTCTCCCGAGAAAGGTAAACCAGTCTTTCAGTTACCATATTGTTAACTGTAGGGGGGCCAGATGAAGTTGAGCTTGAGGTGCTGGGCCCAGGAAGACTGGACTGCCACTCTTGACGCATGCGTTGATTCTCCGCCTGCAGCTGGGCGACCAGCTCCTTCAGTTGAGCGATTTCCTCCTCCATGGGGAAGCAGAGCAGAGGAGATTAGCAGAGTACCAGGGGTGCAGCACAGGGATCCCTCCGGACCTGCTGCTGTTTTGCCCAACAAACACAAAAATACCAATAGAAAAGGAAAAAAAAAAATCTACACCAACTGGGTTGCAAAAGAAGGAAAAATACACACGTCTCTGCCTTTAACAGAATCCTGCCGGCAACGCCAGAATGTGGCAAGGGGGTGCTATTTTATTCAAAAATAGAGCATATTGTCTCCAACCAGCAACGCCACCTGGGGACTTGCACCCCAGGAAACTGAACTTTCAAACTAAAACAGGAAGCTAAAATAAGAATAAAGGCAACACAGGTAAGTTCTGAAGAGGCAGAGACAGAGTTCAAAATATTTCAAAATGTTTATTAGATCAAAAAAAATGAAGTTAAACGTAAATATAACTGAGAAATTTAACCTAGGAGGGAAAGAAAGGGATAAAGTTAAAACAACATAACAAAACACAGATAAGGGGGCAAGAAAGTTAATTTTATTTCTATAATAAAATTTGAAACAAGGCCTTCTACAAAAGTTAAAAAGTACAATAACCCCAACTTAAACTAAATCAAAGAAACCCAAACTAAGTTAACTTAAAATAAGCTGAGGCCACCAGAAGGGAGGCAGACTACAGAGGGAAAGTGCAGGGGGGTGCTCCCTTATACTCACCAAGTGAAGCACAGCACACACACTGCAAACCTTCAACAAAAGAAACAAAATCAGTGTAGTCTTGTGACCCGGTGTCAAACTCATGCAAAGGTGGAGGGCCCTCACCCGGGGTGCCTAGCCTCCCAAACTAGTGGGCTCAACCTCTGAAATAAAATAAAAGGATTAACCAAAGAAACAAACAAACAAACCAGCGAACCCAGTTGGTAAAACTAGAGGGAACTAAGGAGAAAAGCAACTAAGGGTAACTAAGAACAGAATGCAAACTAATGGGGGAGTAACTGTGTAAAACAACCAAACTTAGAAGTAGAAACAAACCAAGTAAGGGGGGAAACCAATCAAAAGGGCAGAAACAATCAAAGTAAACAGGCAAAAATAACTACAATTAATGGGGGCAACAAAACAGCAGCAGGTCTACCACCAGCACTCTGAGCAGATCAGAAGGCCGACTGCAGGTGAGCTGCTGCCTTTTGTTCAGCTGACCTGATTAGGGGAAGGGAGGGGTTAGAGGAGGAGGGAGAGCTGCATTCAATAGCAGCAAGGTGCTGCCTGCCACAATCGTAGTCTTTAGACAAAGTAAGGCTTTTCTCTCTGCTTGTAGCTTTCCTTGAAGGATAAAACGAAGTAAGACCTGATTTTGAAACACAGAGACGTCTGTGTGGAATTTGTCGCGACAAAACCCATTATGGGGGGCAAGCTTTCCATTGAGGTGATACCTCCGGAAGGGCCAATTGTTGAGATCATGAGAAAGAAATGTGGGGACAAAAGCTTAAAATATTTAAATGTCTGGACCACTGAGTTTGGATTCCCACCAGGGGGGTCCCTCAGTTTAAAAAACATATCAAAACTAGAAGAAGAACTAAAGGCAAAAGAACAAAAAATTAGAAGAAAAAATGAAGTGTCTGTAAGAAAATTAGAACTCATTAAAGGTCAAAAAGAATGTTTACAGATGTGGAAAACTGAAGCAGAGATACGAAATACAAAGTTAATGCAAAAACAACTACCCTTTTCATGCAAAAAGGTTGAAACGATTGAGAAGCCAGATTCACATAGACAAAGAACACAGAACTTGCAGATCTCTTCTTCTTTGTTTCCACAGTTGGCGGCTCTGAGGCTGGATTCAGACCTTGACGGCAACCCACCTTCCCATCCTTCAGCACCACCACCATACAACTCTGCAACACCCAGCGAGAGAAGAGAAGCAGACTTCATCAGGCCACAACTACGAGCAAGCTCAGAAACAGCTCGTTCTGAAATGCCTGGTCTATCACAAGACTCTACAACCAACACCCTTTCTCCAATTGCACACAGACTATGCAATCCAATAAAGACACAGCCTGGAACATGCCTATGGTTGAAGCATCTGAACCACAAGGCGCAACTTTGTTCTTTCGACCATGGACTTCTGAGGACATCACAGCCACTTCACAACATCTGCCCAAACCCCATGGCAACAGACTGGCAAAGAATAGCTGGAGAATTCCCAAATGCTGATCTCCACTGCAAACATATCACCTGGGAAGACAAATCTAATGTCCAAAGAGGAAAAGGACGTGGCCATCACAAAAACTGGGATAAAAGACCTCGAGGAGATGTCTGTTTCCTGTGTGGCAAACATGGACATTGGAGACGTGATTGCCCTGGCAACACCTCATCAGACGCAATAGACAAATCGGACTGACAATGGTTGGGGGTTGTTTGAGAGGAATGGACTCCTGCTGACGAGCCGAACCAACTTGTGAAGAGGGAAGAAGGTACTGCATCACACTCACACACACATGCCAATCACATCAATTCACAATCCATAGAGAGCTCAGACAATACACATGCAATTGTTTTAACGTATGTTCAATACACATCTGATCAGTTTAAGAAGTTTCCAGAACACATGCTTATCATCACAGAACAACACAGTGTATTCTTAGTCGACTTAGTTTTAGTCTAAGTCATGTATACTCTATTGGTTCATCAGGTCAAACACTTAAACAGAACATTACTGTCCCACTCAAATGTGGGTCATGTTCAAGCTTCAAACACGCATTTTTGCTCTCTGAAGTCTGCCCTATTAACCTGATGGGCAGGGACTTGATATGCAAATTGAGCCTTTGTCTAATCTCAACCCCAGAAGGTGTCAAAGTCTGCAGACTACCTGATCTGCCACCAAACTTTTCACACTCCTTTGTCTACCATACCCTGAACCTAAATTATGCATATCAATGGAAATTGAAACCATCAACCTTTTCTGAGTTTCTCTCAGCTAGGAAAACAATTTCCACAGCTGCAAAGATTTTATGGCACCAGAGGATCTGCATTGCACCTCTCATGTGTCACCCGGACCTGATGAGTCATACGAGGAATGTTGGTTAAAGATGAGATTTGAAGAACTCACACTGGCACATATTTTTTGGGCACGACACAAATGTGCTATATTAGTCTCCCTCACACCAACTCAAAGTGACATGTACACCATGGACCATTCGGTCCCATAGATCCCATAAATGACTGGGAAGATTTGGGCCCATTTATAATAGCATATAATAGCATTAAACATCTGATCGATCCACCCTTTTGTTTTTTGTTTGTTCGTTTATTGTTTGTTTGTTGTTTGTTTGTTTGTTTGTTTTGTTTGTTTGTTTGTTTGTTTTTACAGACACTGCAGTACTACTCAAAACGTTTAACATCTGTTGTGCACACTCAGAGAATAATCCAGCTGGTACCTGAAAGCACTTCTATAACCTTTTTCTTGTTTGTCCATAGAACAAACTGAACCTATCACAGCCCTGCAACAAGTCCCTAAGACACTGTGGGCTTTTGATAAGTATGATGTTGGCCTCATCAAACATTTAGACCTGTTAGCATTACTCCAAAAATCAGACTTCAGACTTTGCAAGACTTGATATCCATTTAAACAAGAAGCCACTGATGGCATAACACCAGGTTTTTGACTCCCTGAGAGCAGCAGGAGTAATTGTTCCCTGTAACGACTCTCCAGTGCGCACGCCTTTGTTCCTTGTTAAGAAAAATCAGAGACAAAGATCAACATACAGAATGCCGTTTTGTTCAGGATCTGCAAGCAGTAAATGCAGCAGTCCAACCCAGAGCTCCAAATATTCACCAGACCGTTAACTCAAACGATGAATGAAAAAAAAAATGAATGCATGACTTCTGTTTTGTTGCAGGCTATCAGGACAGCCACACCCTGTAGCTTATTTTACCTTAAAACTGGATCCTGTAGCTGCAGGCCTCCCAAGATGCCTTAGAGCCGTGGCTGCAGCTGAGAAGGCAGTTATGGTCTCCCAAGATATTGTGTGCTATTCTGATGTTACTGACACATGCTGTGTCTTTGATTTTACTTGAACAAAAAAAAACTTCTAATTTCTCCACAGCACGATGGCTGCAATACAACACAATCCTTCTAGAAATGTCTAACATCACTGTCAAAAGATGCAATGTTTTAAACCCTTCCACTCTTCTCCCCACACCAGACGATGAAGAAAAACTGTGTTGCTATCCTCCAACAGGTTTGATCCCCAAAACCAGACCTACAGGAAACACATTTAACAAATCCTTATTTGGTTCTTTTTGTAGATGGATCTGCCTCACGCAACCCACAAACTGGTCGCAACACAGGCGGCTTTGCTGTTGTTGCTAACTTTTGCTCCTGGAATCAACTGCTATTTGTAAATGTCTTGCTCACCCTAACAACTCAAACCCTGTCTCTCTAGGAAATGCTAGAGCTGATGCCGCTGCAAAACAAAATCGCACTCCAGCCACCTATCACTGATCCTTTATTGGTATTCCTTTCACTGATTCCTTTCACACACAGCAATGCAATCTTTCGCCACACCTCAGGAAAAGGCGCTGTGGACACGCTGTGGTGCCACACAAAAGGATGCAGTATAACGAGGACCCGATAATAAACCTTGCATACCTAAACACTTCTTTCCTCATTCTGCAAAATTGACACATAGGTTGGACCATGTGTCAAAAGGGGGAATGTTGGGTGCCATAACCCAACACTGGTTTACTAAAGGATCTTCAGTTCATGCGCAGAAGTTTTGTCAATTGTGTATGGTTTGTGCAACGCAAAACGCAGGTAAAACCAAAACAATCACACACGCTGCTCACCCACCACCAGACAGACCGTTCAAACACTTAATGATGGATTTCATAGAGCTATCACCTAGTGGTAGCAAAGGCTCTGTGAACAGAAATCACTCCCAGATGGGAAATACCAACTGAACAACGATAATGGCTCTCATTTTTCGGAAAATTCTGCAATAACCCAAATCAGTGAATTTCTTGCCATTGACCTCAGACAACATTGCACATATCACCCTGCCAGTGGGGGTGATGTCAAATGAGAGAATGGCTTTTGAGATCAAAATTGGCTAAATGCTGTGACGAAACGGGACTGCCATGGACAAAAAAGCTCTGTTGATTGTTCTAATGGATATGATAATCAAGAAAAGATCCAGAGTTAACAGGAGTCCCTGTAAAATTCTTTTTGGCAGACCTCTGTCCCTTGGAGTGGAGCCTGTAACCAGGCCACTCCCCTCCACTGGCCTATGTCAGGATGACATGCTACAATATTGCAAGAGCTTATTCTGCACTCTCTCTCAAATCTCCCAGCAGGTGAAATCAGCCCTTCCACCACCAGCTTCCACATCCCTCCACGACTTCCAGCCTGACGACTGGGTGGTGATAAAGGACCTGAGAAGGAAGTACTGGCACTCCAAACGGTGGCGAGGTCCATTCCAGGTGCTTCTGACAACACATACCGCTGTGAAGATCACTGAGAGAACAACGTGGGTTCACGCCAGCCACTGCAGGAAGGTCCCGGAGCCAACAGAAGATCCAAACCACCAACCCCGACAACCAGAGGACAACCGACGTGAGGACGAACGACGCGCAGATGAACAGACACAAAGGAGGACGACACGAGGAATTCACTCCGAGAACACAACCGACGCTGATTAGCCCACCAGACCACACCATGCATCACCTGATCTTGATCCTATCATGTTTGGTACAAATGATAGAGGCCTACACCTACGAACCTGCCAAAACCGTCACTCTGACAGAAGGACAGACTGCAACATTCATCTGTCCTATTTATCCTGAAATTTGGAGCTCAGGACAAATTCGTGCATATTATGCCGAATATAACAAATACTTATGCCGAGATCCCTGCGGGCCCCACGATTGGAATTCAATTATTGCCGCCACTAACAAAGCCCTTGCTCCAAACAGAGACTCCCGTTTCACAATCGCAAAGGTTCCAAATTCCAATGGAGCCCAAATCACCATCTCTGATGCCAAATCCACTGACACAGGCACATATTGGTGTGGAATTGAATATCCGAACTCTGATATGTACAGACAACTCAAACTTATAGTGAACGGGCCACCAGACTCACATGACACCTCACTTAACATGCTGTCAAACGTTAAGACTGCCCCGTTAACCTCCAGGAACAAGAACAGCCACCTCGACGGCTTGAACATTGATAACCCCGAAGATAACACAGTTCAACAAACCCTCAGACAATGTAATGACAACAGTGCATGTGCCCTAGCTGTTTTGCACAAAAAAGAACTGAAGATCCCTGGAGATTGTTGGGTTTGCCATGCTTTAGCAGCTAGATGGCAAGCAAAACCCCTAACTGCACATGTTGCGCTACAAAGTCACGTAAAGGAATCTTGGAACACGGATCGTAATAAATGCACAATTCCACTTGGAATGATGATGTTACTCATTGCTGGACAACAAATCAGGAATAATGCACCGGTTGTTCCACACCCCAATATCTCCTGTGTCGATTCCCATTCAGCCCCGAGTAACATGGCATTTGAAGTTCCGTTACAGCATGCAGAAACCTGTGTTTGTTCAACATCCTCATCAGGTCCTTACCTTGGCCAATCAAGCTGTCAAACTAGAATATTTGTGAACACTACAACATCAGCTAATTGTTCTCACAGAGGGACTGATAACACCCTAACAAGATTTGCCTGCCCATTTAGACAACTTTCATCCCAACCAGGAATAATGTGGTCCTGTGGGAAAACAGCCTATCATGATTTACCATCTCTATTTCAGTGGTCTGGTTGCTGCCATCCGTCAATTGTTACAACTGATACAAAAGTCTTCCATAAGAAGGCCCCTGCCACCGATACTCAACACACCACTAACTTCAGGGTTCGCAGAGATGTTACTGGTATCCCTTTCAAATATAATGGTTATGTACTAGCTGACCCCTGGACTGCTCCTAACGCAAATGTGGGATGGTCTCTATTTCTAGGGGGTGGAACAGCTGCAGCCCTAAACAAAATTAATGGACTAGCCTGGTCTGTTCTTTCTTTAGCAAATCAAACTGAGGCCGCCCTTACCTTAATGAACACTGAAATGTTTGCAATTAGAACAGCAGTTATCCAGCACAGACTTGCTCTCGACATCATATTAGCCGAGAAAGGAGGAATCTGCAAAACAATTAATGTCTCTTGTTGTTTCTTTGTCCCTGATGAATATGAAAACATCACCAACATCATCAAACATATGCAAGATGCCATTCAACCCCCACCAGTAGCAGAAGACTCATGGCTCTCTTGGCTAGAATCTTGGCGTCAAACCTGGCCAGCATGGTTTCTAACAACAATTATTCCAGTGATAGCAACCTTCTT